GTGAGGTGAGGTGAGGTGAGGTGAGGTGAGGTGAGGTGAGGTGAGGTGAGGTGAGGTGAGGTGAGGTGAGGTGAGGTAGTGAGGCAGGGTTATGATGACTAAGCATAATTATCGTCGCGCCGTCGCGACTTCTATCATATCTGTTTTTCACACCATCACCAGCGCCGAGTAGCTCAGCGCATCTACCAAAATGCAAGACCCAAGCCAAGGGATCCATCGTGATCTCGTAAGTCACCCACGATACTGTGCTTCTCGTACACTCGCTGTTCCTAGATACTAATAGCAATTGGACAGCAACCCCACGTCCATCTCCTGTCAACATACCGTTTCCCCCAACTCCTTAACCTCCATCCCGACAAAGTCGCAGAATATCTACTCGGAGCTCCCAAAATCACACGCGACCAAGCCCCCTTCTACTGGACATATCTTGACCGACCTATTGATGGCACAATTCTACTTGTTTGGCAGTCCCCCTCGATGGGGACTGATTATCCCAGCGATGGCTATGTTTGGGCACCCCCGGAATCTCGATATCAAGTAGATGTAGCAGGCGGATATGTCAGTTCCCCGCAGGACACTATACCTTGGATGCCGTAGCTGATTGGATTTTAGTCTATTGAAATGTTCCATCACAGGACCGGGTATGCGCCTGGTGAACCTCTTGCGGTTCATGCCCGTCGGCGATACCGTCTTCACCCCTCTAGGGATCCAAATTCAACCGGTCCTACACCTGATATGTCGCTTTGGATTATCCACTACCTCCAAGCCGAACCCAACGACCGACTTCCGTCCAGCATGATTCCTATTAATCCGCATCTCCAAACGACCATGAACACTCGCGCCTATCTCCACTCTCAAGGGCAGATTCTTAAGAAGGACTTCATGCTGAACGACCGTCCCAATTGGCCTCAAATTGCCTTTCCAAGAAACCATCATCCAGCAATGTACGGTGGAAACATGCCTGCGGCTCGAGTCCCGCAGACGATGGCATATCCTCCTCAGCACGCGACTGCAGGACCCCCCACCAAACGTCCTCGAACTCAAGCACACGCGACCCAAGCAGCTGCTAGTAGCGCTGTTTCCGTGATCGATGCAGACGATGAGGAAGATACTGCCAGAGGTGATTTCTTCGATCATACTTCGCCGCGCGAAATTAGCATGAGCAGATACAAACAGAACCACGAGTGGATGGAAGAACTTTTGTCTTCCCCTTATGCGATGAACCAGATCGTCCCCGCAGATCTTGGTCTTGGCCTACGTGGGCAGCTTGCAAGCATTACGGATGGAATCTTCGATGCGCCTCTTGACCCTGACAAGGATAAGGCTCAATATAGCTACGTTGGACAGTTGGACAAGGATAAGGCGGAAGATTTTCGCAAGAGAGCTGGTGAGAGGATTGAACAAACCAACAGGGACATTGAGAAGATGAAGGCAAAACACGCGAAGAGATTGGCCAAATTCCGAAAAGGAATCCAGATCAGTGACGCGGAGAAAGAACTTCGGAGTGCAGTAGATAACCCGTCTGACGTTGGACCCGAATATTGGCGTCTTGAGGGCCGGGTTGATTCAGAAGACGAAGACGAAGATAAGCCCGTCCTCAAGGCCCCTTCGAAGGTCGCTGATATCATTGCTCAAGTGGAAGCTTCTGTTGGTCGTCATGCAGCAGCAGTGCAAGAACTTGTCCGTATCCAAGATGGTGGATATGAAGAGCCTGCTGCCATTGTTGCCAGCCCAGAACCTCCTGCGGCTCCGACTCAAACCACTCCACCTGGTTCAAACAATGGCTCTACTACTAGCGGCGTTTTGGTTGGCGATGCAGACATGGACATGGGTTCCACAGCTTCTGGTCTTCTGGACAACTTATATGCTGGCCTCGGATCTGCAACTCCAGGTAGCAGCTTCCCTACGCCCCAAGCTCATTTACAAGCCCAGTCCGAGGCTGGTACCCCAAGCAACATTCCTGCGCCTTCTCCCCAGGCAGCGACGTCAGAGGGACAACAGGCACAGCCTGATGTCGCTATGGCCAACGCATCTAACCCGGGTGCGCAGACTCAGCAGCCAAATAAGGCTGAAAAGGACGACTGGGTAGTTGTTCCTCCAGGTGGTGTGTCTCCTACCAGGGACTCGCAGCCACCTACTATATCTCAACCTGAGATTGCTGCTCCAGCCACTTCCACGCTTTCTGCTCCTGCAGACGCTAATCTATCGCCTTTACCCACGACCTCGACAAATCAAACCCCACTCCCTGATTTCCCTAGATCTCCAAACGACTTTGCTGATCTTGGAGATCTGGACACGGCAGGTGATGCTCTGGCTAGCTACGGTGAGGATCTCGATGGTAATGGTGGCGAACTAGGAGACTTGGACATGGATATGGATGTTGGGATGGATGATTCTGCATTCGGTGAAGCATTCCATGGTGTTGAACCAAGGGGAGATGATCATGGCGAGGGTGATGGATTGTAATCTTTAGTTGAAAATTGTGGCGTTCTGATTGGGGTAGATTATGATGGAGATATCAGGCTTGTACTATAATTTGGCAGGCTTTTTTGGTTTCATTCACGAATCAACATTTCTATCATCTGTTTGTTGCGCGCCCGAATTGACATACTCTATCAAGCGCAAATTAAACCCCCAATCTCTCTGGCAAGTGCCGCCTTCTCATCCGTCACGGAGACTCCTTTTACACAAGACGTTCGCTACACATAGCTCCCGTTTGATTGGCTAGATTTCACTTTATGTTGTACAGCACCAGGACGTCCGTATCTACACCGACATCAACACCATTTTCAACATCCCCGAATCCATCAGACAGGCTATTATAACGATTAAGCAGCTATCAAACTCCGAATACTCAGGGGTCATCACCTTGGAGATCCCTCGAAGTCGAGAAACTGAGCACATATCACTCTCTCATTCCTCCAATAAATTCACTTACTTTACTTACACATATTTGTCTTGTAGTGCTACTACCCTTTACCCTAGTAGTATGGACTGCGAAACTTCTGTCTTTGGAACCCCCATAAAAACTCCTGCGCAATACGTACTTTCTCCATTCTCCTTCCATGTTGCTAATCCAGGACTACCAAATCTCCATCGCAGACTAGACGATGCATATATTTGAACTGATTCACAATCCTCCAACCCTAATTGCGAGAAGAATAGACCTTGCTTGCATACCTGCGGCTCTCCATAACCCTTGAACTTAATTTTGCGCAGAAACTCCAGAATCCCAGTGCTCAACTCTTCTTCTCCACTCTTCTTATGCGGAAAAATCCCGTCGTTCACGACGTCAGGTTGTTTTCCAGGTTGTTCCAACGCTGGAAATCCAAACATTATGCGCTGCAGGAGATTCTCCACTTCGTCATCTATTCTATCGGCGGGCTTCAAGTGCACCATCTCGTCTAACCAGAGGCCTTTCAAATCTCTGTGTCCATTTTGGGTGCCCCACGTATGCCAATTGGCCACCGGAACCAAGTTCATAGGCTCATCGGCTGCGATTTGAGAAGGGCTCGGCCGCCATCCCAATCTAGGTGATGTATCTCTAACATCGCTCGTATAGATATATGAGAAATCACCCTTAGACTCGCAGGTTGACATCAGCTTTTCGGCCAGCTCTGCTAAAGTCGTAGACGGCGGACCCCACGATACATCTTTGGAAATGGCGCCGAGAGATGCCAATAGTCTATTTTGAGCAAAGGCAGGGACGAAGGTACGCATAGCCATGTTTGAGAGAACACCAAACGCAGTCCGATCTAGATAATCGCCCAACTGGCGGTCTGCTAAGGTATCTTCCAACGTGTCGAGATTATGAAAGGTCTCCAGCACGGCGATATACCCTTGTCCCGAAGCTCTCTTCCACGTATCGAGAGAAAAGCCCACGCAGTTGAAAAACTTCTCTGACCCGATCGCGTGCCCTGCAATTGTGGGCTCGAGCGTTGTGAAGAATACTAGGTGCCCGTTGACGAGCTCTTGGTATGTCCAGACTCTGCTAATCCACGTGTCTTTTTCGATGATCTGCATTTCGTCGTACGAAAGAGCGCGTGGTGATTTCTTTTCCTTATCGGATACTGATTCGATGATGCGCCATATGGGGCGTTGAAGGACTATCAGGACTGACAGAGCGGCGCTGTAAATCCATCCCATGCTTTTACAGGATAGCCAGTCAGTATCAGGATTTGATTACAGATACACGATACACGATTTGAGGTAACTTACCTTTCCAACGTCTTACCTCGCTCCGGTGTCTCCAGTTGCGGAATACAAATCGCATCGATCCAGAATATTTCCACAAGAGGTGCAAGGGTCTCATCTTGAGATGCGGCAGCAGCTGCAGCTTTTATGGCAGCAGCTAGAGCTGGTCTAGTTTGGTCCGAAATATCTCTTTTGCAGTCGAAAAAGCTGCCTTTTTTCTCGATGCCGGGGCCCCAGACGTACGAGACGCAGTGGAATTTGAGGTTTCCTGGGCATGTGATATCGTGAGGTCCAGTCACTCTCCATAATCTGCCGTGGATTTCTTCATCCCCGACTTCTTTTTCTCCGTCGGTGACGGGAACGATGAGGTTTAGCTGCATTGGATGTTAGAGACAAGGGCTTAGGGTTTGGCGGAGGGATAATATGCAGGAAGAGATGTAGAGATGGAAATTCATCATCCTTTATTGCTACAGCCTTGCGCGTGCGGAGTACATTGCCAACTCACCTTGCATGTCCGCTGCCGCTTGTCATGTAACGATTACACCAGTGGCGGATTAAGGACGATGGTTTGATAATCATATTTGTTAAAGAGCTGAACTTAGAATTAGTAAGTATCAATTACGCGAATCACTTAATTTGGAGGTTCACTGTTGATTATACAGCCCATTTTCTTTCGATTCTATGCTCTCTAGACATTAATAAATCTATTATCTTTAATATCACGTTCTATAACTGACAGTCCTAGCATTGTTAAAGTAGCCCAGCCTGACCGCTAGAGCTCTTTCTAATAATTAGTTTCCCATTATCTTTGTTCAGTGAGATAAACCAAGCCCTAAGCGCTGATCAAAGTATAGTAGTAAAGTCTTTGCCGTAAAGTGGATTTGGGATCATACAGACTATTCTGAGAGAATTTCCGCCCAGGAAGTTGCATGTATGAGTATATGCAAATGCGAGAAGTGTACCTCTCCAGTTGATTCAAACATGTCTTTAGGATGAAATTCGACATATTAGCCCCGAGACTAGAGAGAAGGAGCGAAGTATCTGGAAGTCTAGTAGTATATTCCGTCGTCTATTAACATCCCCCGTGGGATTTCGGTTACTCTCTCGGCTGTAGTAATTGCAGGACCCTTTGGCTTACCCGAGAGAAATCTACTATTAGATTCAATAAGGAAGAATCTACCAATGACCGTTCTAAACTCATCAAATGATGGCCTAGCTCCTAGAATAGAGTTTATCCTAGCTAAGTGGTATACAGCAGTAAAGGTTATAAAACAATCGAGTAAATGGCACAAGCTTGAGAAGGGGATAGGAGAGGGCGTAGCACCCTCGAATGTCCTCGAAATAGATTGTTTACTGACCATCTGATGTTTTTCGCTAACCAGAAGGACATTTGACGTATACATTCAACTCTAATTTCGAAGATAACGAGTTAAAAGGATCAAACAGGTATATATTCCTAGAGTTGTTACAGATATGCTCACACTAAGGCTACTTATGTTGATCTTATTCTCTATAGAGGTGCTACCTTATAAGTTTACCATGGAGGATTATAGTAAAGTTTCGTCTGATTGGCCGCTCGTACGACGACCGACTATACTAACATACGGAGCGTAATACCATGCTACTATAGGATGCATACTACGCCGCAAGCAAATGTTTGATCCTTCCTGTTTTGAAACGACATACATCATCTGTACCGTATTAGGAAAGGAACTTATGCTGTGCAGCGACTAAAAGCTTGCGCTTTTAACCTTATTTTAATCGATCATTATTGGTTCTCCTTACGAAATACAAGGCTCAGCCCCCTGTAACTATATTAGCTCTACGGAGATATTGACGCGCGCGGTTGTCCTTCTGTGGATAAAGCTAGTGCGATCGCAGCGGACAAATTAGTGGCGATGCATCTGGCGTCTTGACCCTTTGTCATCGCCCTATATTAGTAAGTGATTGGATTGAAGTTATACTCTGTACAAGGTCAAACTGCTCTATAAGAATCTCGCCGACTACGAGCCATTTAATGCTTCCTGGTCCAGACTTAGTCTTCTACTAATATTGCAGGAGTCTTGTAGTAAATTTGGAAAACTTTCGGCATTTTTGGGAACGCCCACGTGCCGCAAAACAATACGGGGTAACTATACTAGGTATCCCTACATCATAAGATGTGACGTGACTTTGATATGCATAGAGCCGCATCCTTCCAATTTGCCTTTGTCTATAAACTTAATGTAAAGAAGCATCCTACGGACTTATCAAATTCAGTTATCAGTTTGCAAACCCGCCTTGAAGCCGGCGCTTAGGGATTCAGCCTCAAGGCTTCCTCTGTCTTGCTAAATTGCGCTATTATTACAAAGTACAGAATAAAGGTAGGACTTATTACCATGATGCTGTCAATTGAAAAGCTTCGAATTCATGATTATATTATAATAGTCTGGTGAAGAATTAAGGATGAATATGATATGCCGTATACCCTAGACCCGCATTATGGGGATTATCCTAAATTCAAGTTAAGCTTTCACGTTCCGTGCATAGATCAGCATCCTTGTTAGATATAACTGCTAATTTCATCGTACAATATACTGCAGTCGTATCATTCTAACAATCCTTTAACCTGCCTCCTCCAATGACAAAAGAGCTCTCGTGTCCCAAGTGACCAAGTCAGGGGTAGCAACATGGGCGGTGCTACGCCATGTATTTTGCGTATATGCATCGAGGCTGAGTGGGGCGTGCTATTCCTAGATGAGAAACTCCCGTTTCAGCACCCGTTGCCAAAAACCAACCATCCCGGAAGAGCCTCATTATCCTTTTTTGAGTGCCAGGTATTGTATGGTTCTACAGCCGCGTTTGAGACCGCTAATATATCCATTTCCTTTCGCTAGGGCTCAGGTTTGATCCTTACGAGTTGTCGCCATTGAATGGCCTCAAGGAAATTGGAAAAACACCACGTAGGATTGAGTTATGTGCCGTGAGCATGCTTTTGACAATTTGCTATCTTTTAACTTCATAGTAGGATGAATATGAGGTTACTTTTGGCTATTTTTATCCCAGTACTCTGGGTAAGAGACCAAGAGCTCAGAGTATATGAGTATCAAGTTCCTTTTGAAATAGTTTGCTCTTCACCTTGTTGTACTCCAGACTTTCTCTTATTGCTCTGTCTACTTCTCACTATCTCAGCGTTTCCAGTCTTTCATTTTCAAGAGTCATATCTCGCACACTTCTTTTCAAAATGGTGGCTATCAATAGCCTTATTCCGCACCTTGCGGCCGTTCTTCTGTTCACGGGCTCGACTGGTGCTATTCCAGCAAACGCTCTACCTCGCAGAACTCTTAATGTCCGGGCGGCAACTACCTCAGCAGGTACAGCAACCAGCGCCGCCAGCGCTTCCGGCACCACTGCAGGTCCGAAAATCGTCTTCACCGAAACCAACAATGCCGGTGCTATCAATGGCTGTACATCAACCTCTTTGGTACCTTACACAGACTCGAATAATGTTGCTTCGACCGATACTGTCTGCGTTGGTAGCAGGTTCCCTATAAGCACCAATTCGAAAATCGCCAGTTCGGAAGCCGCAATTGTCTCGTCTTTGGTGCCCGTCGCTGTTCCTGATCAGGGCTGCGCTATAGGGACCAAGCATGACGGTTCGAACCAAGGTTACTGTACTTGTGCCGGCTCGGGATCGGCATCTGCAAGCAGTGTCAGTACAATTCTGGCTTACTCCAGCGGTAACCTTACCACGGTATGCAATACCGGCGCCGGCTCTGTGCCGACCAATTATGTCGAGGTTCCTGAAATCAAGACCGAAGAAATTACTGCGCAGCATCCGATCTGGGCAAACTCACCAATCGATGCCGTGGCAGGAAACTGTACATCCGCTGATATCCTGGATGCTCGTTGTTGGGAAGCCCTAAACATGGACGACTATGTTAAGTGGTGGTGGGGTGCATTTAACAGCACCTGTGAAGGCACACAGTTTGCCGAATGCTTTTACAAAGTTATGACGCCATATAGCCCTTCAGATTGTTCCATACTCGCGGTTGATGGCCCTTGTAGACAACCGGCATGGGCTGATTTCAAGAATAATTGGAACGGTGTCAGAAACGCATATGTAGCTGTAAGTTATCCTATTCCGCCCTTTTATATATCTGCAGAACTGACATTCTCCCTTGTAGTGGAATCTATACAACATCAATGCGTTCTTTGTTAATTATTACACGGCGATTATCAGCGCAGGGAGCATATCTAATTCTATGGTTGGAAAAGTCGTTCAGGTTATCGATCCCATCGAGAAAAAGAACGTTATCTTAAACGACATTCTCACGGCACTCTCAGTTGGCCTAGCTTTCATTCCGGGACCCGAAGCAGCCATTGGCAAGGCCTTGGTCATTGGTGCTCAGCAAGCTCCTGGTGTTGCCAAGTTCTTATACCCTATAGGCACAGCGGACTCGCAACTCCTCCAGATGCAAGACGTCGCTGCCAAGCTTGGAGATGGCGTGAAAACTCTCCAGGATAGTGTCGGCAAAGCACTCCCACCTATGGTAAATGATGTTAATGCTTTCGCTGCATTCGCTTCTAGTGGTGCTTTTAGCGCGTTTCTACCTCCTCTGGATCAACTGGCAGATAGCCTACTGAACGGTATGATGGCCTATCTAATATCGCAAGCCTACCAGATGAATGGAGTCTTTATTACGCGTGCGCTCAACACTTCTGTTCATGCTCTTGCGAGCAACGGTACCTCACTTAGCTACAATTCTCCCTGTACAACAGGTTACGATTCGAATGGCGTTTGCGATACATTCTGGTACGATTCTGTAGATGATACGACGTACTCCTTGATGCCCGGTAAATCCGATACGCGATGGAAGAGTTTCAATAGCGACATGAACCTCTGGTTCAGCAACTATACTCGTCCCGAGATTCTCTTCAGAGGTGCTGCCGCATGCGCCGCAGCGAATGGCTCAACTAAGGGCTCGGACACCCCAATCAGCATCTCGTCAACTGCTTTCAACACCGACTGTCTTTCTAACATGAGAGTCTGCACGTGGTCTTTGACTCCAGGAAGTAGCTGGGACCCCCTCTTCACGGACTGTAAAGATTCGGAGGCGTTCACTGATGTAACTGGCATGCCTGGTGCGGGGCCGACTGACTCTTCAGCAACTTGCAAAGGCGCTGAGAGTGGAGGCAAAACGCCTTATCTATTGGCTTGGAGACAATATCTTGGTTGGGGGCTGCTGGAGAATCAAGCAGATGCTCATGGCATCAAAGTCTGCGCCGGTGGTAGTTAAGTACAAAGCCTGGGTTCAAAAATGTCCATGGAAGACGCATGGTTGGAGTTTAGCATTCGCAGCTGTTTTTTATACCCCGAGCTCGTCTAGAGCGAGTGGAAACCATTGTATCTATATATATTCATTCTATAACATATTTTTGAGCAGCAATAAACCAAGTTCTAAGCATATCATATATATATCGTCCGAAACAAAGTCCTATCAAACACAAAGCACTTTAGACCTATCGTCTTATTGATGAATAAATTTTCGAACTATAACCATCGTCCTCAAACAAGCCATAACATCGCCACCCGGGATTCTCATTCGCTGGATTCTCCCATTGTGTATAAAACACTAGAACGATCTAAGTTAGACTTAAATATATTTAAGTCTAAAAATTCATAGAAAATAAAGCAAGCTGAAATATAATTAGTTATGCTGAAATAAAACTGAATCGAATAGGAGTTTTTAGAGTTTAAGCCAACTTAAATAAGGGTAGATACTAAAACCAAGCTTATTTCACACGCGGGATTTTCTAGACTTGAGAGAGAAACATCAAGACTGGTATTTCAATCTTTGAGTTCTATACCTAGAACTCAAAGGACCTAACATATATACAATAAACAATATTTACAAAACAGAAAATTATTTACAAAACAGAAAGTTAACAAGGTGACCACACCCACGCCACACACCCAACAAATCCCCACCTAATCTCAATCAACACCTCTATTCTACCCCCCCCCCCCCCCCCCACAAAGCTACGAACCACCGTTCCTAAATAAGACCCACACCCGCCGCCGCCGCAATACTACTACTGGCCGTACTAGCAGTCGCAACTGTCTTGCCGCTGAAATCCGAAAAGAAATCCGTATCTGTGCCGACAAAAGTGCCCGAACTGCCAAAAGCGTTCAACTGGCAGTTGTGGCCTAGATAGGCGGCGCAGGCAGTGTTGGCGCTCGTGCTGGGGCTGGCGAACAGGCTGCCGACTTTTTCTAAGAGTGGGGTCACGACGTTTTGGAAGACGTTGCCTTCGGCGACGACGTAGGCTCCGGCGTTGACGTCGAATGCGTGGCCGGAGACAGCGTACCACTAGATGATGGAGCGTTAGTTGCTTGTTGTTTAGGGGCGTTTCGAGAGGAGAGAAAGAACGAGTTCTTGTTTTGGGAAAAGGGAGGATGAGTTGCAAAGTATGTTAGGGGAAAGGGGAGTATAATAACAAACGAGCCATTGTACTTACCTCGTTGTTGACAGCGTGAAGCAAGGTGTTGCTGCCGACTTTTGGACCACGGCCGGAGGTATGGTGGATGTAGTTTCCCTTCATCGTGACCAGGTCATTAGAGCCTGTGAGATAGATAGTCCAATAGTGATGGCCGTCACAAGTGGCACTCCAAGAAGTAACGCCATCGAACTCAGTGTTGGAGATGGTAACACGGTTGGATGCTGTAGTACCGGCGACGAACATCTGGCGTCCAATGAGGGAGATCTTGCAATGGTCGACCCAGACGAGATCGCTGCCTGCAACGGTAATGGCGTCGCCACCCCAGATGTATTGTGGGTTGAGGTCGGTGATGTGAATGTTTCTGTTATCGTTAATGGGATTGAGACAAAGTCAAAGAGGTCGGGTTCATACTGAATGATCACGTTCTCTGCGCCGTTGGCGATGCGGAGACCTTTACCCTTGATTACACCACTGGATCCGATGCCGATGATTGATTTGTTGGAGCCAAGATTGATGGGAGTTACTCCTGCCGCATCGTATGTGACTGAGATAGAAGTGGAACCAGTTCCAGCATTGCCATTCGTGCACCTATGAGCATTAGAGCAAGAACTTTTAAGAGCAATTGAAAGTAAGTACGAACCAGTCTGCATGATTAATAGCATCTTGACCTCCATCATCAGGGCATGTATTGGAAGCCGGTCGACATCCAGTCTCAGTGACAGTTCCTTCACTTCCGATGAAATTGTACCTGATTGTGTAAGACAAACAGCTACGGTGATGGTCTATCGAGACTTACTCTTTGTTGAGAACGATGACTCTAGCGGTGGAATCCGTAAGCCATGTCGTCAACTCAGCAATATCTGCCGGGTACTGGGGAGTAGCAGAGCCTCCGCCGGTTGTGCTTGCCGCGAAACCAGGGGCCGTACCAACTACACCGACGGCTGCAGCTTGTCCGATAAGAATGTAGATACCGACGAGGATACAGGTAGGGGATTTCATGATGAGAGATTGCAAAAGCGAATGGGAGATATGCAAGAGACCAGAAGTAGATAGTAGGTAGCCATAATAACAGAAGAAAACAGCGTCTACTTATAACAACTATAGGCTTCCAACCACCCCTTTTCACCTCCAAATTGATTGGAGGCATTAAAACTCAGGACCATAGGATGGATGAATGGAGAATTAATGGAGAATTTTTCTGGCTGCCAAGGTGATATAAAATGTCGGAGAGGGGCCAAAGTGGATTATCCTTTTAGTCAAGTGACAGAAGTGATACCAGTAGCGGCGGCGAGAGATGACCCACCAATACGAAACGAATTTCCACCAAGCTGAAAAACTTCGCTAGCACATAGGGGCAACTCTAGAACACCAAACTCCCGGTGGAAATGAGAACACACTGTTAGCTTCTTGGCACCAATTGGCAAATAATACAGACTGACTGTATTGCAAGCATTTGCATGCTTTGTTAGTTCAAAGCGGCTTTCGATGAAACACCCGATTTGTTTGTTTGGGGGCTTTCGGAGTCTAAGGACCTAGCGTAGTAGAGAAATTAAATAGCAGTTTGAAAATAACATCTGTATACTTGCCAGGTCCAAAAGTGGAGGAAAGCTTTATTAAAAATACGGCTGAGCATATAATAGATAACTGAGTATACGGCCAAGTCCGAGCACGAAACAGTTGACTCTTTGGAAAGCCCTTTACATGGAAACAAGTAATGTATTCTAATTTCCAACATATGCCCGTTGAATACTGCCAAGATTACCAGTCAGAAAGGTTTGCAGAAGTACTCATTCATACTTGAGACAATTATCATAGTGACAGAGTCGAGAGGATTATGTAGAAAAATACCCTAGTGCTTTGGGAGATGTTTTGAAGAACGAATCTGGCGTTGTGAGACTGCCATAATATGACTGTAGTCAGGGAAAGGGAAATTAATAGTGGCTTGTAAAAGTGAGGTGCCACTTAGCAATATATATGGGAACGGACTTGAAAATAAGGTTACGCACTAGGAAAAATATAAACAGTGATATCCATATACTCGTATTCCCTATTCCGTATCCGCATTATCATCATTATCCATACAGCAAAAAGGCCCAAGCATACGACCTCGGAGAATCTACCACAGCGGCTGGATGATACCCCGCGCCATCCATCGTTAAACATATCATGCTACGCCCGTAACCCGCCGAATCGCCTTCCTGGCTCCTTCGCCAAGCACCATAACCGCACCTTCCTGCTCCAAAGCCCTGACCACCTCGGCAAATTCAGGCGCATCTATAGATACGCTACTCTGTTCTCCCATTCTCCTGAGGACTTCGGAATATCTGGCATTTTGTCCTTGACGAGTCATTTCGTCTAGCAGCGTAAGAACAGCAGTCTTCAGGTCCCCCTTGCGTCTCCTCTCGCTTGCGCTCGTGCCCTCCGTCAGCAGACTCATATCAATTAGGCCAGTTCTGGCATCCGTAGCCGTTTGCTTGAGAGCACTCTTGATCAAGCGCACGGCTTCCTTAACATCGTCGGCCGTGACTATCTCGGAAAGTCGCATCTTGGCGTGTGCTTCAGCGAGCCGGATCATGGATTCCAGCTGTCTAGTTGTAGCAGTAATGCGGCGTTCAGCAGCGCGGACGTCTTCGCCAAGTTTACGCATCTCGACATAGGCGGCCACGAGCTCTTTAGACGCCTCGGGGCTGATGCGGGGTTGGCATTTGGTACGAGCGTAAGAGATATAAGAGGTGAGGAACTCGATAGGCTAATTATGTTAGTTATGTTCGAAGAAAAGGGGCAATCAAGTGCACTTACGAGAATCTCCAATGTTCCAGATGCACTTTGCGGCTTGTCGTCTAAGTACATACTGAGCAGATGCCTGGCCAATCGTCGATCATTTGTCTCATCGACACGATCAAGGATAAGGTAAACTAAATCAAATCTAGACACTAATGTAGGTGGAAGATCAATGTTCTGGGGAACAGGCAGGTTTGGGTTATACTTGCTTCCAATAGGATTAGCGGAAGCAAGAATACTCGTTCGAGCATTCAAGGTCGTAATGATACCAGCTTTGGCGATAGAGACCGTTTGTTGTTCCATCACTTCGTGAAGGACGGATCGAGTGGCATCCGACATCTTGTCGAACTCATCAATACAGCAGACACCACCATCAGACAGAACAAGAGCACCAGACTCGAGGACCAGTTGACGAGTTTCGGGATCACGAGTGACATAGGCGGTCAAACCAACAGCAGAAGATCCTTTGCCGCTGGTGTAGACACCTCTGGGAGCAATCTTGTGAACATATTGCAGGAGCTGAGACTTCGCCGTAGAAGGATCACCACACATCAGGATATTAATGTCTCCTCTGTACTTTGGGCTCCCTCCTTTTTCGAATGACTTGTTTGTTCCACCAAACAGTTGTAGCAAAATACCCTTCTTGACGTCGTCCATTTCAAAAATACTCGGGGCTAGCGATCGTGAAAGGAGCTCATAGATGTCAGGTCGTGTTGCAGTAGCCTTGATCTTTTCCTCTTCTTCTTCACTGACTTTACGAGTCTCCTCAATGTTGCCGGTAAGCTGGTCGGACAGTTCCTGTTCAACCGTCGAAACATCAATTCCCATACGTTTCTTATCGACCTTTTGGATGTGTAAGACATCGATGTAGGTCTTGTAGATGCTTTTCAGGGTGCGTTGGCGAGGGTTGACACGAACGGGACTGGCTTTGAAAATACCAGTAATCTCCACTCGATCACCAGCCTTGCAAAGGTCTACCAATTCATCATATGCGCACATTGAGACAGAATGGGGAGTTTGACCTGCAGGGACCGAGTCTGGTGTTTCTTGAAGTTTGATGACCTGCTTATCCATAAATCCAGAGCGGTTGTGGACAATCTGCATAGAGTTTAAAGAGTCGCAGATAGGGCGAGGGCATTTGGTGGGCTCGGCGATCTTGCCACGGTCGATGTCGACCTTGACTGTATGATTACAGACGGAACATCGGAAGAAAGCATCTCTCATATCGGGGATGATGGGGGTAGTTCGAATAACGAGGCCTTTAATAGCCACAATCTTGTCGACATCTATATATTGTTAGTAGACTTCAAAGATGAAAGGATAGAAATTCCTACCAGACGGATTTAGTTCTCTCATGTTGATAGTATCATCAAGGCCAAAAGGCCGAACCCTGTACTGTCTCTTTTGGACCTCTTGGCACCAATCAACCTCATTCGAATCTTGGGGGCGTGGTGTTGATGGCTCCTGCTCACTTCGTTCAGAACTTGGAACAGGAGGTTCGGAGCTCAAGACTCGACTGCGCTGGGAGGCTTGTCCAGCCGAGCTTTGAGATTGTCTCTGCTCGGTCATCTTGGCTTCAGCAATCTCGTACATGACATCTTTGATGCCCTGATCCATGAGTGTGACAATATCTTGAGGGTAATCCTGTGCTTGCTGCCAGAGCTTCTTGGTTGGTGGATACGCCTTCAGGTTACGGAAATCTAGATTGAGACTTGTAACACCCAGTGTTAACATATTTTGCATCATCTCCAAGTACTCTTTGCTGTTAGCGTCGTCGTCTTCGTTTGTTTCATCCTCCGACATGCCATCCGCCCACATGCGATATTTCTTGGTGAATTCCCGAAGAAAACTCTTGAAAGTTGAGAGTGTGTCGTTGATCGAGACATTGGTTCCCCATATACAGAGAGTGGAGTTTCCACCCATAGCCTGAGCATCGGAAGTAGTCGGATCCATGTTAGAGAAGGTGGGCGCTTCGGAGGCTTCAGCAGGCATATCGCGAATAACTCTGCCATTTTCATCCATGAAGATGCGACGTCTAGCGCGAGGAGTGTTGACGTTGTCTGAATTAATATCTCCGCGTCGCGAGTTGTTTACAGCAGATCCAGGACCGAGAGATCGGGAAGAGCGAACGAAGAGACCGGAGCTCTCGCTACGAAGGTCGGGTTGGAGAGATTGTTGCCGGCTTGTGAAGCCATTTCCTGGGCTGGAACTCGGTTCATATCTGATGGGAGAAGATTCTGGATATGTCAGTATGCATTTTCAGTCTCAACTTCTGGGATTCTTACCGCCAATGAGGCCGCTGGCTCGTGGAGTTCGATCACCATCTTGCTGCGTCGACTGCGTATTCGTCATCTGCCTCAGAGGAGAACTGACATCTCTCTCTGCGTTCGAACGCGCGACAGCAGCAGGGGAGGATCGATAGTTCATGGGCGATGAAGAGGGCGCACCACGGCGAGGGCTATCTTGCGATCCAGCCGCTTCACTGTGCAGCTGGGCAGCTGCTGGATCTGGAGGGCTGCTGGGTATCGCATTGCGTTGAGATGCTCTACGCGTAGTGGCAGATTGGGAGGATCTCTGTCGCCGATGCGAAGGGGACGACATTTTGGGGTTGCAGGCAAAGGTGTTGTGATGTTGAAAAACAATGTCCAACGCGAAGTGGGAGATTTCGAGTAAGTGGATGCGGTCAAAAAACGCGACGCGTTCAAGAGCGCGTAAAGAGGTCGCATTAGCGGCCTCTAGCGTGTTTTCGTCGAAAAGGGGCTCGGATCCTGATATCGTGATCTTGACCATAGAGAACTTCGGGTTCATCATCATCTACAGTTGTGAGACAATTTTCTGGCTTCAAATTAAGCGCAAACAGCTCTGATCCACAGACAGACAAGTCAATCCTATCCGTATCTCCTAAACCTTCATCCAACTTCATACTTCCATTTTCAATCTTCCACCCCTCTAATACATTATTCTTCCAATCTCCCACGTCTATCCCAAACTCAACGCCACTTCGAAGAAGTCTTACTAACATCTTCTTTGCTATAACCAAACCTGTCAAACAATATCACGATCTCAATTTCAACGTATATCACGTGATAACCACTCCTGTCATTCTCTGGGTCCTGGTTGCGGAATGGTGGAAGATTTGCTTGCCTGGATATCCCAAGCTAAGAATTCTTATATATCACCATCCGTAGTTGAAAGTGTCACTGATGGTGAGATATTCACGAGACAAGCAGGCAAGATCGTTAGGTACAGACTTCATGATCTCCTCTTATCATAACTCGTAACTCGTAAAGTTCCACAACTCATAGGGTATTATAAAACCAGAAAATACGCACTCAGACGCCCAGAACATACCCGCACTCATTCCAGCAAACATGCGCCTTCAATATCATCCATAACGCGCCACAAATCATGGGGAATCCACAAACGTCAAACACACTTCCTTCCTTACCAAGTAACGCCATCAGTTCAAAGCAAGTACAGTCCTACCCCCAAGCTCTGGGAAGGTAATGTGTTCAAGATCCTCCCAGCCCGGCAACTTCTCCACCTCCCTTAGACAAATGGCCGCTGCCACATACTTGAACGAAAGCAACTGCTCTCGTCTGCGATAAACAGTATCATCTTTCAGGCTGACAGCCAAGCACGCAACACTTCTCTCCAAAGCCTGATCAGACCACTCATCACCATCCTTCAATATGCAGTTGACAATAAAAGTAGTGTCCTCTTCGAACTTCTCCTTCATAGTCTTCGAGAGCTCACGTTGGTAACGATTCGGAACACCGGTTCTGCCGAGAATGGCGCCGGTGAAGGCTTCGAGTTCGGAAAGAGGGCGTTGGGGGTGCTGACTATAGTCTGTCATGGTGTTGAGAAGTGCTTCTTCATACCTGAGAGTGTCAGTAGATACGAGACATGTTGACTCGAGCTATTTTTACTTACATGTCACGAATGTCTTCGGCCCATTCCATCTGGTCCTCCCACTGGAATCCTTGAACCTTTCTCTCAACATAACTCCAGACTTCGTCAATGATATTAGAGCGACTTGTAATTCCATCGGCGGAAGCTCGTTTTTGAATACCCTGGAAAACAGCTTGCTCATCAATGGCGCGGTAGAGCTTCCCAAGGATTTTGTTGCTCTCATAGTACCTGTAGCTTGTGAACTCATCGTCTTCATCCTCCTGGTCAAGTGGTTCCTGGAATGTTTTGGTTTCGAATACAATGCCATTGTTCTTCTCGATCATAACGTGCGGGCCGGGAGCTTCAAAGTCTGGGCGCCATGGATTATTTTTTGGCAATCTGGTCATATCAACCTAAAAATCATTAGCTAGAACATTTGAAGATCAGAAATAGCGCATACGGGAATGCCTGTCTTCGAGAAATCGACCGCAGTGGAATGCATTTCGGACAGGCGGATGCAGTTTTCATCACAGACGCCCCTTTCTTTTTGGTCAGCCATCACTCGATGTTGAACAGCAATTCGACCAAGCTGATCAGTTTCCATGAATTGGATGAAGAAATTCGTCATATCTTCCACCTCCACCAATCGACCAATATCCACGGGCTGTTGGATTGGATAGTCGGCCGGCTGAAAGACTTTTTTGACTTTCGCCCTCTCGTCCCACATGATGTAATAACGGTCGCCGTCCAAATCACCACCGCTGAGTTTGCTGGGCAAGTCGCGGGCCCCGTGTTGGCTGAAACATATACAATTGTGTATTTGGAGAAGTGGAGAATTCTTAGGAGGTATGACTCCGTCCACCAGCTGCACGTCTCCAGGATGAAGTGCCGGAGCCCGTGAAATAATCAAGTTTCTGCCGGTAATGTATTTTGGGACACCATCCTCAACGACAGAGCAAAATATCTCTCCCTCTCGAAGATATCCGGTTTCGTCCATAAGACCATGTAGATGGTAGCCCTTTTGGACGGGAATTCTTGTCTGGTGCTTGAGCTTGCGAAGTTCTGACAACAACGTCAACTCCACAGTGTCGCGAAGAAAGCCGTCCGAACGAAAGTCGAGGTTGCGTGATGCAAGAGCTAGGATTAACCACGGGAAGTGGAAGGGCTCGCCAACTGACTGCCGCTTTAGGAAAGTTGAGGTATTTATAGGATTTTCCGTAATGTCTCGCAAGCGTTTGACTTCTCTCGCCTGGAGGTCAAGGAAAAACTTGTCCTCAACCCCCATATCCTCCAGTATCTTGATTAACTGCCGGTTCAGGTACATCGGAAGCGGTTTGTATGCTGCCTCACAAATTTCAACATCTGCTGAATTTGAACCACCAAATTTTATCATGGAAGGGCGTAGAAATAGTGCAGGCTTTTGCACACGAGAATCCAGCGATATCATACCTTTGGCTCCTGTTGCAGTAAGTTAGTTCCTTTGACTTGAATCAGAATTATTGACGGAGGCCGGAACACTCACCCTTAAAACGGATCTGAAGGCATGTAGGTCTTGGAAGCGTCTTTTTTGGAAGGCGTTCCCAGATCTTCTCCAGGAGAGATGATGAAATAGTACCGACACCATCGCTAAATACACGACCGTTGTTCTGAACGTCCGGTATCTCATAATAATCTGTCAGATCAATCGTGACTGCCGTTCTTGTATCAGAGAATGCCTGCCCAATTCTTGCGGCGCATTTCGCTGGACATCGAATCGATGAAAAATTCCCAAGATATTGGATGAGCCTTCTGTCGAGGAGTAGAGAGTTCTCGTAGACAAATGGGGCCATGAACCAGCAAGATTGAGCTAAAGTACATTTCAGTTAACCCTGATTTGACGGTGACGGACTACCTCTAGAGGTATGGGGACGGCAAGAGAGATCAAAATTCGAGGCATTTGGAAACTTACCTCGAAGGGACGAATGTGAGAACCCGAGAAATTTGTAAACACGGCCAGCAATATCAATTCCTTCTCGGAAAACCTCTTTAAACCGTCCATGATATATTTTGTCATTAGATATTCGAGGATTAAAACGAACCGGCTGGCCATCTTCATCACAAAATTGTACGCGGAGGAAAGACTCATGTTGCCCAGGATACTTTCTCAGAATTCTGTTGTTGGTCTCGGGCTCAGGTCCATGAAGGTGGATGCCAGATGGCATCACTTTGGCTCTGTGAATGACTGCCACGTTCTGAGTCACCCTCTCTTGCTGCATCGCCCTGGTAATCGTTAGCTTTCTCTAAGCATAAAACCTTAGAACGCATAGAAATTCTTACAATGCTCTCGATTCGCGCTTACACCGGGCTTCGTTCTCCATCAGCAACTCAATTAAAGCTTCCTGGTCAAACTCGGTAGCCTCTGTCTCTGGTCCAGGAAAATTGATCTGATTGAAAAGCTTCCTGGCCGCATCGACGCATGTAGCCGTTTCTGTTCGTCTCGCCATGGATGCAAACTCGGGAAGAAGTGCCAGAACGGTGGAAGGCGACAAATAACCATCCTGCGCCAACTTTTGTATCTGAAACTTTAAAACGAAGGGGATTTCACATCGAGGGCTTAACAAGGCGTGATGAAGAAGCTTTAACCCATCAGCATACGACTTTGGGTATCTCTGAATTTCTATCCGCCGGTCGGACATTGAGGGCATTTGACGGGCAGCTAAACGGAGAGTGTTCATCCGCTCGTTTACGTCCATAACAAGGCCAAGGTCGGTGTAATGCACATGGTTGAGAGCGATGCGGTATACAAGACAGGTCCTCGCGATGGGCTTATGTGTATCGTCAAGATAGGGAAGACGATGACGATCGGGTCCAAACTTTCTTGTTGGTGACTGTCTCGTCTGTTGTGGTTGGAGGCCAAGTTTTGCAAACAAGTCGACAATTGGATCCGTGGTGATCTTCTCAAAGAATCGTGGAGGCTCGTGCATTGAAAACGTTAATGATGGCGTAGATCCGTCCTCAGTGATAATACCCAAGGTACTAGTGTAGCGGAAATCAATTCGACGGCCATCATCAAGCGTCAGAATCATGACCCTCTCCCCAAATCTCGCTGTACCACTGACATGCCAATTCACTTGAGGGGAGAAGACAAGGTCCGAGTTGACATAGGCCCACACGCCGCAAGATACAAATGAACATTGGAAGGTGACGGGAAAGACTTTGGGTTTAGCATGATGGTTGTGTTGGACCAAAGCCTGGGATTGTCGCTCATGCTGTTCCCTAGCTAGCACTCGAAGGAGGTGTGGATTTGCATCCCGATTGCTGCGCTCGCAATAGATATATTGCCCCAAGAATCTAAGATTGATGGACCTCGCGCTGGACTTGACTCCTCGACGACTTCCGGCAACCTTAACCTGGCCGTAATGGAGAAGGAACTTTCGAGCATCGTCAATACTTAGGAACGTTAGCTGAGCGTATGGACTGTCTCGAGACTTCCGGAAATGGACGTTTTGAATAGACAAGTTTTGAAGGTAGGGCTTGAGGAAGTTTCGCAGCGCATTCTCTGTACTTTGAACAGGCACGTTGCGGATATGCACTTCTATGCCCTGAGGCTGCTCCATGGTGGGTAGGAGGACTAGCGAGCGCAGGGTCAGAGATATTCTGTCAGGAAGGAATGGATGATTCAGTTTCTTGTACGCAGTAGGTAGGTAGTTGACGATGGAGAGTGAAAGTTAGGTTGAGGTTTCGTCGAGAGTTAAAGTTTGAACGCGGGGTTGGAGGGGAGGGGTGCAAATGCGAGATCCCGATTTGGAGCCCCTGGCCACAGTTTGATTTGTCGCTACTCGCCGATCTTCATCCTCATTTTTATATAGCAAACCTTAAATATATATTAACCATCCCAGTCCCAAACTTTTGAGCTCTTTAATACGTCCTTCCCCTCCGCAACCTGCCACTCCAATCATCAATCCAAGGAGTACCTGTCTGCTATCTTCATCCACACTTTTACACTCCAACTCAATCGCAGCAATTGCAACACCCACCCTCTTCATTCCCATCACTATCACAACAATTACAGCAACTACACCCATCATCGTCATCGCCGTCCCCACAATCAACACAATCAATACAGTCATCACAGCAATCGCATCCGCAGCATTCGAAAAGCGCACAGCAGCATAAGAAAGCAACACTATACCATCACCCAATTGTTAGCTTCTCATTCCACTTCTATATAAAGAAAAAGTTTGGGTCTGGTCGGTAGATACTTACATGGTACCTATACAGCCCCTATTCTTCTTCTTCTTCTCCGGTTCGTAGTTTTGTTCTTGTACGTACATCTGTGGTTGTTGTTAGAAGAGAAGATGGGTGGTCTGTGAGCAACGGAGAAGGTGCCGTGTACCTGATGTTGTGGCTGCGTGTATCCGGGCTCGTAGATGACATTCTGGGTGGAGAGATTCTGGGAGGAGTAGTTTTCTGTAATGAAGCTTTGTTGTTGAGGTGCTTGATGTTGCTGGGGATGTGGCGCTGTGTGGTGTTGAGGCGCTGCGTGGTGTTGGGGAGCAGCATGGTGTTGGGGAGCTGGGTGATGAACCATGTGTTGCTGAGGCGGAGGATGATGCTGGACTGGATGATGTTGGATAGGACGATTTTGAACTGGGTGATGCTGTACAGGATGATGCTGTACCGGAGCACGGTGTTGAACCGGACGTGCCTGATGGTGAGGAGCCATCGTTTCAACGGATAAACAAGTTAAAAAAGAGATCCAAGATCCAAAATCAACTTCAAATTTCCAAAGAATTTCAACGAAGGACAAAACAGCAAAATAAACAAAATGCGTACTGGACCTCATATATCAGAATATGAGAATACTAGAGCCTTAAACTAGACCCTGCAGTCTGACACAACAACCCAGCCAAGGTACCATTTTACGAACTTTAATCAACTCCTCCGTCAGCCGCCACCCAGCTCCTAAAAATAAAGGCAAGTTATCTTATACATTCGCGGATCTAGAACTTCATGCGTGAGCCTTATGTAACGCCCAAAATCACCGTATGGGAAAATTGCACATGCGCACCCCCCCCCCCACCCCGCCCCCTGCCCCCGCATGTCCAGGCTCGTTCTTGGCCCGGCTGTCGATAGTGCGTGGCTATTACTGTACTCGTAATAAGAAGAATGCTGGTTAATCATCAATGCACGTTCTCAGCCGCACTCGTTCTTTCGTGGAGCGATGCGTTCCGTCACGGACTAATTTCTATTCGGGGACAAGGGCTGCTACTCGTAGGTGTTGGGGGCGTAAAGTAGGCATTTTGTCATGGGTTCCCTGTTGAAATGAGACTTCTGGTATTACCTAGATATCGTGTCAGCTCTGAAGATTTAAGTAGTACCTATGTTCAAGTGCAAGGATTGTAGTTGGAGATGAAAACATGGATCAAATGCTCATTGCGTCGTATTCTTGCCAATCCTCCGCTATTCGCATCCTCACTCTGACCCAAAAACTTAGGTAACCCCTTAAAACACTAGTCCGTAGTTCAGAACGATTCACCAAACTAACAATAGCGCCCAGTACATCATCTACCGAGGCACGAATCTGTTTCATGGTATCCCGTTCTCTCAGAGCAATTGTGTCGTCCTTGAGAGAGTCGAATCAACCGTAATTCCAAAAGGGGTACCAAGCTCATCGTTTCGTGCATATCGCTTACTGATACTGGCAGATTAGTCCTCTACTGTGTGGGAGATACCAAGGGTGCAGAGCCGCGCTGAGAGCTTTTTGACGTGGGAGGCGAAGACTGATGAGTTTGTTGACTTATACTAGAATGAAACCAAAAGAACTATTAAACAGCCGCACAATTTGTCTTATGTAAGCAGGGACAAATTGTATGGGTAAGCAGGAACATGACAGGAGATAAAGGGACACCTTATTACAAGTAAATTCTAAGTATATTATAGATAGAATGCACCTGATGATATTTAAAATTAGCTGATAATTGTTCAAGTCAAGGGAGACGTCTAAATAAGTCCGTAAGAAACATCAACGATTGTCCCGTTCCGTTCTTAATGTGCACATCCTTACGTACTGGGCAAGACGCAGTGCAAGCAAGGGTGACAAATATCCCTGCAAGACATTCTATACTACGACCATCCATACCACACGGCAGGAACACAATGATTTCAATTTTTTCCCCATTATCACGAACAATATCGAAGAAACCTATTAATAAGAATGTTAATTATACCGGGCCAAAGTAATGTCATATTGATAGACTCAGAACCGAGTCTTCTGAAGTTCTGCCTCTCTACTCGACATTATTGCCGGCCTTGTAATTAGTTATCCCTCACTATATCTTGACTTAGAGGGAATTGCACTAGGCCGTCATGGCTCCATATCCATTCTCTCGCTCTATATCGCTCCTACCAGAAAGACCTACCTTATCGACATTCAGTCTCGGAAAGGCTGCTTTCTCAATTACCACTAAGAGCGAAATCTCACTGAAAAGCATCCTGGAATCGCCAGCCATCCCCAAAGTCATCTTTGATATCCGCAACGATTCAGATGTCCTGTTTGGTCTTTTCAAGACCTCTGTTGACGGCACCAAAGATCTTCAGCTCATGGAACTTACATCTCGGACGCTCACGAAAATTCGTCTCGGGCTTAGCAAAGTGCATTGAGCAGGAGAGCCCTTTGTCTAAAGCAGCGAAGACGGAATGGCGTCTTATCAAAGAGCTTGGCCGTCACCTATGCCTTCGACGGATCAAACGAGGCTGAGTTGACTCTGCCATAATTCACTCGATCTCTGGATAGTGCATCTCGGTGTATCAATTAGGCACCAGTGTCCGAAAATTTGGGATGAAGATGCCGAGAAGTTACTTGAGTGAAGGGGGTGAAGTCATTCCCTTGACGTGCAAGCTCGGCGGAGTTTACTATGCCAGAGCTCACATTATATTTGTGCGGTCAGTGATATATATAATATATGCATTATCCAGAGAATTGTATAGCAGAAAGAAAATGAGAAACGCTTAGCATAGATAAGATTGCATACTAAACAGCTGTGTACTTTATAGATATACTTTGCTATATTGCGGCAGAAAAATGTAAAGACTGTAACTTGTAGTTTGAAAAGAGACATGTTTCTCGTAGGTCTCAGAATACTTACATGATAAGCCTTTTAGAGCTATGAGTAGTTTGTGACAATTCAACATCCTTTTGGACGTGGCTTTCTGTCACAATTTTGAGTCTAGAACATAATCCACATCCTGTCTTGGCAAACGCTCTAGACTTTCTTCCACGATTGAAATAACCCAACGAACGAATAGTATGAGTAGAAAGAGAACGGTGATGAAGGATCAAACACAAAGTATTAACATTAGTTTGGAAAGCTTACATCACCACCCCTATTTTCTCGCTTATCTCCAACATGAATGGAGCCAGCCAATGCTCTTATTCACTTTCGCCCACTCCACGTTGAGTATGTGAATCACAAGAGCATAGCCTTCCAGATGGTAGACCCTTCCATTAAGTGCCAAACAGTCTATTGATTTTGACAACGGTCAACTTTTGCTAGACACTTGTCCCCGAAAATCAAACAACAAACGGCAATCAACGTGCACAAGATGGCACCCCAACTAAACATCATCATCGTATGCATACCACCTCGCGCTTCTTTCCTTGTCCAGACACATCAGATACTTCAACTTCTTGAGCTTCCAGGATATTGTCCACTCTTCTCGATCAAGCAATGCTAACATTACTGTAGGTAGGAGGAGGCATAGCAGGCCTCAGCACCGCAATCGCTCTCCGCCGCTCCGGCCACACAGTTACCGTCCTCGAGCGCCACTCATGCCCTCAAGCACTAGGAGGTCCAATAGATCTGACACCCAATGCAACACGGGTCTTGATCGATTATGGACTCCGCGAAGTCATGGAAGAAGCCCACGTCGCTGTGGAAGGAGAAATTCACTTCAGGCGATGAGCAAATGGCGAAGTCCTGGATAGTATGCGCCGTGATGAGCTTACTGAGGCCTATGGATTTCCGTAAGCCTCTTGCTTCACTCGGGTTGTGTAGGTGTCTGGAGCTAACGAGGATAATGCGGTAGTGCTTGGAGTTGCTTGCGTTTCAAGGTCTAGGAAATACTTGCGGATGTTGCCGACAAACGCGGAGTAAAGATCATATTCGGTGCCCAAGTGTTCGGTATTGATCTTGAGAAGCCGGCAGTTTTTCTGAAACATGGAACGGAAATGGGCGCTGACTTGATCGTGGGGGCGGATGGTATCCGCTCTGTTATCCGCGGTGCTGTTACTAGCAATACTAAGTTCAAGGTAGAGTCGTTTTCATTCCTTCCTTGTTTGGATGTTTCAAAATAACAACATTACCCAGAGTCCCCTCTTCCCCCGAATGCATTCCTTTATCTTCAAAGTGGCTTATAGGAAGTCAAGCTAACATACTGTTCCTTGGTAGACCTCAACCCCATATGGATCATACAACATCGATTTCCCACGAAGCCTCCTGTAGTCAGACCCAGAATTAGCGCCCCTCACACGCGGAGACAACTTTTGGTTCGGTCCCCAGATCGTCGTAGCAATCAACATGCCGGACCATGAAGACAACTTGAACGTGGCCTTTGGAACCGTGAGCGACGATGGTCGGGAGGGAAAATGGCACACCCATGGCGATTTAGAGAAACTCAAGGCAAGCCAAAAGAACGTCGCAAGTCCTCCGTGACAATAACACTAATAAAGCCCAGGAGACTTTCGCCTACTATGATCCCCGAATCGTTAAATTGTTGACTTATGCTAAGGCTAAAGACTGCTACATCTGGCGCCAATCAGACCTACCGCATAGCGATCACTGGGTTAGTAAGAGCGGGAGAGTCGTTATGATTGGAGATGCTGTACACGCGATGCTTCCAGCGGTGGGCATGGGTGCCTCGCAAGGCATCGAAGATTCAGCATGCTTAGCTATGTGTCTCGACGCCGCTCAATCCAAGCACGACTTGCCGAAGCTACTTAAGGCATTTGAGGCGATCAGGAAAACCCGTGCCGAGTGGATGGTTCAGCGTGGTAGAGAAGAGAGTGTTGCTTTTTTCTTGCCGGATGGAGAGGCTCAGCAACAACGTGACGCGTATATCAAGAAGAACAGGTTCTGGGTACCGACTGGCTGGGATGGTAGTCATGTTGATGAGCCTCCGGAGGGACAGTTCAATCCTTTGAACCATGCTTATCGACAGGGGTTTAATATATTTGATTATGTGAGTTTCAAAGCTTCATGAAGATAGGGATATATGCTGACAAAGTTTGCCTAGACAGAACGACGTCTTAAGGACCTATTATAATGAGCGTATTAGAGCCTTTGGGATAGGAAGGATTGGGGAAATCAAGGGGAAGGCGTTCGTAAAAATAAATATAGCAGCCTTTAGGTACGGAATAAATCGCCAGCTTTTACCTCATCTTATATCCTCCTGATTGTAGAAATAGCGTCCGTATTTGGCGAGTATTAGATTTTGAGACTCGAACTTGCCTTGAGAATAAGCCGTCTACTCGGTGCGTGAACCCTTGCTTATTAGTAATTATGTCTTAATAAAGTGAATGAGCTCAAAAGATGGAACTCAACCCCTAATATTATGTCATCCAATTATCTTCTCGCATCATGAATAGCATGATATGCCATAATAGTATAGATCCCTCTCCCAAGTCCTCTTATTCCCATTCACCTCACCAAACAACCGTACGAAAAAACAATGACAGCGCTTACTCATATAATGCCATGCGATGAAACCTCCCCAGACCTCACCTATACTCGAGATAGCAGTCCCACAAGACCTTCCGTTACTGCTTCGCGATAGCTGCCCCGAAGAGGTGATCTTTCACTTAATGCCACTTTGAGGCGCCACACACACCCTTGATTGTGTTTGCTCCGTGGGTGCACGAGTATGGAGGAGTGGTATTTATAGGGAGGACGCGAGCACCTTAATTGCAGCGTTTCGAGTGAATCACGACCGGTACTCGATCTATAACAAGTACGAGGAAGCATTCGAAGTATTTCATGATAGACGTATACATAATATGTAGTTTGAAGGGGGGATCAATATCCAAAAACCAACCGATTATATCAACGGCCCATTCATCAAAGTAGCCTCATAAACCGCCTGCTCCACCGCCGTCAACTCCAACGCAGGCAAGCCCACATAGCTATTCAACCAATCAAACACAGCCTTCTGCCACACGAGATTGTTCTCCGGCTTCAGCACCCAATGATTCTCATCCGCAAAACTCAAGAACTTACTCGGCACACCCTTGGCCTGCAAGACATTAAAGGCCCCTATGCCCTCGGAGATAGGCAGTCTGTAATCGAGCTCGTTATGCACGATCAGGTGCGGCGTGGACCAGTTCTTGGTGTGGGCAGCGGGGTTCCAGCGCTCGTAGTTGTCGTAATTGTCCCAGAGCGTGCCATTGAAGTCATGCTGCATAAACCAGAGTTCCTCTGAGCTGTACTGCGCGATGGTGTTGAAGGAGCCGTCGTGCGTGAAGATGGCTTTGAATTTACGGCCGAGATCGTGTCCTTGGATCCAATATGTCATGTAGCCACCGAAACTGGCGCCGAGAGCAACGGCACGGTCACAGTCGACGAAGTCGAAGTTCGCTTCGATGTACTCCCAGCCTTTGACGAGGTCGTTGTAGGGGCGGCCGCCCCATTGGTTTTGGATACCATCAGTGAGCGATTGACCGAAGCCAGTGGAGCCGGTGGGGTTGAAGGCGACGAGGACGTAGCCCTGCTCGGCGAATACGAGCATGTTCCAGCGGGTGCTCCATTCGTCTTCGGTGGCGCCCTGAGGACCACCGTGGATGTAGAACATGAGGGGATATTTCTTACCCTCGACGAAGTTGGAGGGCTTGATAACCCAGGCGTGGACGATGATTCCCTCGTCGCCTTCATAGTAGAATTCTGAGATTTGGCTGCGAGAAAGACCCCACTGGGCGCCGAGCTTCAAGTTTGCGTCGATCAAGGTGATGCCGCTGGTTGCGTTGGTGGCTGCAGCTTCGACAGGGTCGACCCAGGAGTAGATTGAGTTGTCAAAAAACGAGTTGGTTGTAACGAGGAGCTTGCCACTTTCCAGGGCATGAACGTCCGCAATTGCGCCGTCTGCTGTAATTTGCTTGGGGAGATCGGTGGTAGATGCATCAGCGGCAACACTGAATAATCGAACGCGCGCAAAGTCTTCAACTTCGATGAAGAGGGTGTTTCCGTCCGCGCTCCACCATTCTGCGGAAGCGCTACGATCCCATGACCCAACTCCGTCTGCCGTGGCATAGAACTCGGAGGCTTCCAAGCCCTTGGTGATATCAGGAACTAACAGTAGACGGTTCTTGTCACTCTCGTAGGAAATACCCTTCATGCGAGAGAAGGCTAGTGCTGGACTGGTAGGAGAAAATACTGGTCCAACGGAAGCGCCTTCAAGCCCAGGAGTAGTAACAACTTGAAGCTTAGGTACTGGTTCAGAGAAAGTCGTGAGGGGAAGATAGTAAATGTCCGATTTTGTGGTCGTGGCTGGATTAAGGGTTGGGTCTTTTGCAACAAACACAAGTCCAGCTGGACCAATATCGAAACTGCCACTCATTAGCTCCGATTTTTAGAAAAGGGAGAATATACGTACTCTTCCGTACTTCCAGATGGAGGTACAGGAGACTCAAGTCCAGTCCCATTCAACGCGTTGATTGGCTCGCCAAGAATGTAGCCTACAGTACCGTTTGAGGAGGCCTTCAAAGTAGTGTACCAAAGACTGTTTCGCTCAGGAGTGATATCTATTCTGGGTCAATTCAATTACTATAGTAACCGTGGTTGAGGACTTACATGTATCCCAATGTCTGACAAACAGCTGTGTATACATACGCCCAGCTGAGACTGGTGTCGACTCGAGCTCTGAGTTGTAGAGGGATCCATTGGGAGCTGCAGTCCCTATAAAAGCCGCTCCGTATGTGCCGCTTCCAAGGTCGACGATCTTTAGGCCATCTATTGCACCTGGTACAGATCCTGCAGTAATAGGGCTGTAAAAGTCAGTACCTCGTCCACACAGCTAGTTGAAACTTGAAAGTAGCAAAATACTGATACCAAACGATGGTAAATCGTTGAAAGTGCCAATCGAAAAGAGGCAGCTTCTGAGCACTGCTAAACTTACTCTGCATCTGGGGTGGTCGCATCTCCAACAGCAAAGGTCGTAGTTCCATCATCCTCGGAAACAAGCCAAATGATAGTAGTTCCATTACCCAGCCATTGAGCATTACTAACCGCACTGGAATTACTCAGCAACGTCGAGCTTTTTGACGACAAATCCAAGACAGAGAGTGCATAACTGCGCTTGTGGGTTGCAAAATCCCAAGTCGTAGATGTGTACAACGCCAGAGTGCCATCCGCATTAGGAAGCGCAGAGCCTCTTCGTGGGGCACTCAGCATCGCTTGCGGCGTATATTGAGTAGTGTTGGACACAGCATTTACAGAGAAGATGCTCGACAGCGCCAGGACGGCGAGGGAAATGGGTGACCTCATAACTGCCACCATCTTGAACAGTTTCCTTGGGGGAATTGAAGGGGAAGGAAATGGAATGAGCAGTTGAGTGGGAGTAGCGGGGTCTGCACGAGGTGGGAGAGCTTACTTATACCCATACCTCCCGTCCCGATCTCCAGACCCATGGTATCTCACCATCAGTGCTCCATGCCAAGGAAGAGATATGCAAGGGCAACTTGTGGTCGGTGCTGGTAATAAACCCTAATGCGTGAGAAAAAGTCTTGGCCTACAGCTTTCTCTTGTATACAGACAATTCAGCCAACCACTCAGAAGCATTCTACTATCTACCCTGCAACAACTTCGGCGGTGGGAGCTCTAGAAGCTCTGGAAGCTCATTTTAAATCCTCGGGTTCCCCATCCTAGCCGTCCCCGCGAGGTACAAATAGGAATGTCTGTTCGGCCGTTCGAGGTTCATGGTAAGGCGTGCTGTAAACCCAGGTAGTACAGTAGTTGACGATGCCTCAAGCGGCAGGTGAGAGATGTCTTGGCTCTTGGCTACGCGCTAGCTATAATCATTGACGAGCGATCAGGTGATTCTGAGGGGCGATGAAGAACTTACCACTCACTCTTGGGAACCAAAAGGTGGGTGTGAATTCGGAAGAGTAAGAAATTCTTGTATAAAGAGTATAGAGTGCTTCTTCCCTAATCACGGCTCAAAGGCGTCATAGAATAGGTAGGCACGGCTTTTGATATAGAATACAGTATTGTCGCTTCAAGTACAGTGGAGAGTTCCTTTTACACCTCGATTATGCCATTACTTTTTCGTCTTATCCTCATACCCCTCCGTGACATTCAAGCCCAATCCCTCCGAGTCCAAAAACAGCTTGTTCTTCCCACCAGCTTCCTGGAGAATCTGGGCAATAGCTCTTGCGTTCTCAATTCTCTTCAAGTCAACATATGACCGACTCTTCTTGATGGCATCTCCAATAAGCTCTGCGGATCGTGCTTCACCCTGGGCTCGGACAACCATTGCTTGCTTCTCTTGACGGGCTTTGTCGACTACGAAAGCGGCTCGTTGGGCTTCTTGTTGTGCTACTTGCTTAGCTTCGACAGCTGCGGTAAATTCGGGGGAGAATGCAAGATGCTAAAAGATGTCAGCGATTGCAAGAGTGAAATATAGAGCCCACATACCGTCAGAGAAACATCATCCAACATGATGTTGAATCTCGCCGCACGCTTCGACAAGTTCTCCCTGACCAATCTCGCAACATTCTCGCGTTGTGTAATCAACTGACTAGCATTGAACTGCGCAACGACGCTCTTCAGTACCTCATTGACAATCGAAGGGAGGACTCGCTCATCGTAATCCGTGCCTAATGTCCGGTATATTTGGGGGAGGGCGTCGACTCTTGGCCTGGAGAGGACACGGCATGTAATGTTGACCATCTGCAAATCTTTCGTACCGGTGAGAGAAGCAACATTGCGTGGTTTCGCGCGAACATCGTAGTCTATTGGGGTTTCGAACCATGGGATCTTAAGATGGGTACCTGTCAAGTTGGGATTGTCAGTTGCTGGATGCAGGGAGCTTCAATGCGCGGCTGCACGCGGGTTCCATACCTTCAGAGTAAATCTGCTTGCTGACACCACCAACTCTGGTGTACTTGATAGCTCTGTGACCACCATCGACGTTGAAGAGCGAGTTGTTGCCTACTACCAAGATCCCTCCGAGAGCCAACAGCGCTGCAGCTCCTCCAGCGAAACCCTTTGGACTAGGGCCACCTCCTCCTCCTGCTTGGCGAACACGTTCGACGTTTTTGGCGAGCTGCCTCCATGCTTCCTGTGGGGTTGACATCTTTGCAGGTTATGTATGAGAACCTCCTAGTGGTGGTGTGGCGAGATGAAGCTGTTGAGGTAGGAGTTCGAGAAGCAAAAGTCCGTTACGAATGTTTACTAGTGTATTTTACCTTGAGGTCTCCACTTTTGTCCCAGGCCGGTCGGTACTTTAGGTAAGGTAAGGTTAAGGGTAAGTTCTCCAGATTCCTTAGCAGCCGACTAATCAAAACTCGACAACGACAAAGAAACCCGCCACGACGAGAACTTCTTTTTAGGTTGAAGACGCAGACGTCGGCAGGAGTGCGACAAACAAACAATATTCATTCGCTAGGCAGACGACAAGGGGCAAGCAAGCAAGCAGGACTAGAATAGCCAGAAATACCTTTCCCATAAGACTTCTGTGCCATTCAATTTCTCACAAACCATTCGTTGACCTTTGAAGGTGACAGACAAGTGATCCTCTGCCTCCATTCCTGAGTCTGACCCTTCTGCTGCTGCTGCTGCTGTGATCTGTTCTGCTCTCCCTACATTTGATTCCGCAGCTTCTCACTTTGCTATTTCTATTGCTATTGCCCTTTCTATTACTCCACCATGTCTACAATGTCGACAAAGCCGCCTTCTAAAAGTGTCTTCGTGGGCAATATACCATATGGTGAATACTGCCCGCCCTCAACAAAAGCCAGGCGCAACAACAACATCAAGAAAGCTAATTTTCGCTTGTAGGCCTCACCGAAGAACAAATCGTCGATATCTTCAGCAGCGCCGGCAAGGTATTGAACTTCAGACTGGTATATGATAGAGAAACCGGTCGGCCAAAGGGCTTCGGTTTCGCAGAATACCCAGATTCAGGTTGGTCCTATACCTATCCATGCATGTTGCACAGATTGATGGTAACTTACTTACCTTGCGCGACTACAGATTCCGCATCATCAGCAGTACGAAACCTCAACGATTACGAGATCATGAATCGAAAACTACGCGTTGATTTCTCCAACGATGCTGGGGGCGACGATGATAATGTAAGACACCCCCTCCCCCGGCCTTTTACCCCTCCACTTCGTCCATCACCGTACTGATACATATGTTCTCGACAGTCCGCCCCAGCAGGATACCAGCATCCACCCCCTTCAAACGGCATGCCCATCCCTCCCCCCTCACAAGCCCACAACGGCAACTCCACACTCCCCCCTCTGCCCCTGGGCATCGACCTCCCCGCCGGCCTCGACTGCCCCGACGCCATCTCGCGCACCCTCAGCACGCTCCCCCCACAACAACTCCTCGACGTGCTCTCGCAGATGAAAACCCTGGCCACAACCGACCCCTCCAAAGCAACCGAGCTGCTGCACCAAGCCCCCCAGCTCTCCTACGCGATCTTCCAGGCCCTGCTGCTTATGGGTCTGGTGTCCACAGATGCGCTCACGAGTGTGGTGGAACAAGCTACGAACACCGTACCAGCAGGCGCATACCCACCTGGCTTCCCGCCTCCACCGCAACATATGAGCGGACAGCTTGGTGTGGGTACGCCGCCTGTTGCAAACCATGTATATGCGCCGCCGCCTCCACCGCCTCAAGCAGTGATGCCGGATCAGGAGGCGTTGATTGCGCAGGTTATGGCGATGAGCCAGGAGGTTGTTGATTCGTTGCCTGCAGCGGAACGGCAGCAGATTATGGCATTGAGGGCAACTTATGGAAGGTGATGGGAGTAACTGGTCAATGGTTGGGATTTATAGGCTGGATGGTGGGCGTATATGGATGGATGGTTTATTTGTTTGTTTGTTCAAGTCCTGGAATCTGCATAATGGGCTTACGGTCAGTTATGGTGGATGAACTCTAGAGGTTTCAGGCATACAAAAGATAGATCGCATAGCAATTGAAGATGCGCATAACCCAATTCCCTTTCCTGTTGCATCTTTTTCAATTCCTTTTCTAAAACGCAACGTTAAGAATATCCTCCCCTTGCGAAGCATTGCCTACATAGGTAGCCTGTGATATGAGTGCTCTAGGCTCATTCAAATGCAAACATTGGGATAGAGGAGAGCGGATGGCACCATTACAGTGGAAGTGCGTGTGTTGTAAAGCAAATATTAAAGAGCCTCAGCGAAGCGCGAAGCGCGACCTGCGATATAACAGATAGCAATGAATGCCTAGTCAAGACAGCAAAAATGCCGCTATGACTAGTATATCAGGTTGTCTCTCGCATGGACTATTCGGGACTCGGGCCTTCGCGTTTCATGGATATAACTTATTTAGTGAGGATTTAAGTAGACTGAGTCCTAACTGGCCGCATTCTTTTGTTGCAAGTCGCGCTGAGCTGCGGCCCTTTGATGTTTTGCAATTGGCAGGTAAGAAGAGAGGAAGAAGGCTGCAGCGATAGATTTCTTATACAAAAATCGAAATTAGATATATTTTCCTTGTTGCTTGCCTCGAAATGGTTGCTTGTACACCACCTATGCATATCATGCTTTGCTTCTCCTAGATACTCCTTAATTTCGAGGTTAGGAGGTTAACGAAATCTTAAGCATACGTATCGGGATATAATCATAACATAGAGGAAGTTTTAGAGTGCTATGATAATTGTTGCAGTAAGTTAAGGGAGAAGAAGCTTACTAGGTAGACCCTTGAGGAAAGAATTAGTGTTGGATTTAGCTGTTTATGTAAGCGTACTGGAGCCATGTCTTTACTCTGGTGGGGTGGTTCTTACTTCTCTGCACACACACATCACAATAACTGACTATTACCTATTATGCTAGTGTCAAGCTTCTATTCGATCATCTTTATAACCTACCTATTTCAACAATTAGAGGGAATAGATTGGGTCACGTGGTGGGGCTAACGGAAGAGGCTTGGGACGCGTCGTTCTGACTTCCATCTATGCTTCTCTTTATATAAACACCCTTAAAAACTCCCCCAAGGCCATGATAGCCATTGCCTGTCCGTATGGCATACTAGTGCGATCGATATCTTTATAGTGCTGCAACGTGTGGCCCATTGCCGTCCCAAAGCTCACATCTATCAATTCCCCCTCGCTGCTGACCTTGCCCAGAACAGCTTTGATCGCCCTGATGGTGGACTCCTGGAATTGCTCTCCATGAATGTATCGCAATCGCAATGCCTTTAGCATGCCGTAAGCAAATCCCGCCGCCGCAGAACTCTCAACATACGATCCTTCGTCCAAAGGCTGGTCGAGCAGTGTCCGCCAGAGTCCACCTGGCTCTTGGTACAATAGAAGTGCTCGGCATTGAGCTTCCAGCGTGTCAATGAGATGAATGCGGAAGGCGTCGTTGGCTGGCAGATCGAGGAGCTCCAGCATTTCTGGTATGACGATAGTCAACCATGAATTACCTCGCGCCCAAAGAGCTCGGGCGAAATTATGCCCACCATCTGCAAACGTCCATCCATGATAAAAGAGCCCGGTTTTAGTGTCGAACAAGTATTTGATATGGAGAAGAAATTGTCTCTTTGCTTCTTCTACATAATGCGGTCGATTTAGCAATTTTCCGATCTTGGCCAGCGGGAGAACGGTCATCATGAGGGTATCATCCCAAAGCTCTTCTGAGTTGAGCGAGTTGTATGTCATATGAGACATGCCGCCGTATTGTGTACGAGGGAGTTCATACATTGCCCATTCTGCCCAGCTGTCGAGCCATGGCAGATATGTCTGATTGCCCGACTTTTCGTACACATATGCAAGGGTCAGCATTACTCTGGGAATACAATTAGCTCTCTATCGTTTTTGAGCGGCTGCTTAGCAACTCACGCAACTGTGTTGATATTTTTGGTTGTTCCACCTTCCTTAAACCGAGCTGCGAACCAATCTTCAATGATAGCAAGGGCTTCATTTGACCCTGTCAAGGTGTGATATTTCCAAAGGCCGTAGAGCCCAATACCATGCGTCCATTCCCATCCATTCCAACCTTTCGTATCAATAACTCGGCCATCTTCTAGTCGGAGAAGGAATTCGCCTGTTTCGTCTTTGATGTTTACAAGTTGGTGAATCAATAACTTGATCGTTTTATGTATATCCTGGGAGGCGACCCCATACGCAACCTGCGGCATCCTTTTTTCGAGAGCTTCGTTTCTACAATTTAAAAAGCCTCCTTGATCATTTCTATTATTGGGGCTGAAATGGTCCGATCATAAAACAAAAACCATATCAGGATCGTCGGACCATCCCACCCTTAAACCAAGTTTGATTCGTGGATAATGTGCCGGCCACGTTCTTCGGTAACAATCCTACCGAGGTTTCTTTCGCACCTGCGTCTCTCCCCAGACTTACTCGCAAAGCTGTAAGGCTCTCCACTTAAATAGTACAGTCCAATTATAAGTCTTCAAGTCAACAACCCCGCGATTGGAGAGCCCCTCTACTCCACAACCCCAACGTTTGTATTTCGCCAAGACTCCATGAATTGGTTCACCGCATGGGGAAGTGGAGCTTGTCGCGCCTGTTGACCTACATAGGATGATCCGTATGGGTTCATAAGAGCCGAAGTGCGAGCTTAGGGCAAAGGAATATATTCATCGTTCTCCTCGAGATCTCCTCGAGAGCATATGCATGCTAAGCGCCTGGAGTTATATCATTCTCAGCATCTCCTCCCTCTTCTAGTCCACTCTCATCGCTCGCACATAGTTTATGTACATTCCTAAACATCATGGCAGATCAAAAGATCCTACCCACGAGCCTTGGCGGTTCCTATGCGGATGTGGATCACAAAGTTGCCCTAGATCCTGAGATTGCACCGGCTGTCCATGCTGAGAATGAGGATGAAAACTTCAAGAAAGATCACATGGACTTTGATCGAGTGGACAAGGAAGTTGCGAAATATGCTTTCGACGTCGCAGTTACCATCTCACCCGAAGACAATTCTCGACTCAAGCGAAAGATCGACAAACGTGTATTGAGCATCATGATATTTACATATTTCTTGCAAGCCTTGGACAAGGGCACCATGAGCTTTGCGAGCATTATGGGACTCCCCGCCGATCTTCATCTAAAAGGACAACAATTCGCATGGCTTACAACTTGCATCTACATTGCGGTCCTTATTGTGGAGTATCCTACCAATCTTCTGATTCAACGCCTCCCCATTGCAAAATATCTGGGCGTGTCAATTATCCTCTGGGGCGCGACGCTCGCTTTGCATGCTGTTGCGAAAAACTTCACGACTATCGTCATACTGCGCACCCTGCTCGGGATATTCGAAGCAGTCTGCCAACCTAGTTTTGTGTACTTGAGCTCCATGTGGTACAAGCGTGAGGAGCAAGCTGCTACTGTTAGTTACTGGTATATGATGAACGGCATGCAGCAGATTGTCGGCGGTCTTCTCGCATACTGCTTCTCCCTCATTAAAAGCCCGCCCTTATCTATCAAGTCGTGGCAAGCAATATTCATCACCTATGGCTGTTTATCTGTGCTATGGGGTATTTTTGTTCTGGTCTACATGCCAGATAGCCCTATGCGTGCCAAGTGCTTCAACGAGGAGGATAAGAAATTGCTCGTAGAGCGCGTGCGAAGCAATCAGACCGGGGTGCAGAACAAACATTTTAGGGCGGAACAGTTGTGGGAAGCATTCAGAGATCCCCAGATGTGGTGCTACTGTCTGATCACCTTTTGCACTACCCTACCCACGAGTGGTCTGGGTGCTTTCGCCAACATCATCATCAAGAGTTTTCACTTCACCACTCTGCAAACCCAATTACTTGCTATGGTCTTGGGTGCATATATTATTCTCATCCTTCTTAGCAGCACGTGGCTCATCGCGAAAACGAAGCAAAATACACTTGTGATGGGCATCTACGTTGCACCGTACGTTACTCTTCCTTCTCTCATTTATTCGCAATCCATATAATTGATTTCAATACTCAATATACCAGGTCTATCATCGGCACCATTGTCCTCCTGACAGTCCAAAACACCGGTCGAGCCACGCAAGCCGGCCTCTTATTCTCCTACTACCTCGTTCTCAGCTTCTGGGCCGCGCAAACAATCGCCATAAGTATGATTTCGCGCAACATCGGCGGGCAGACGAAGAAAACGGTCGTAGTGGCGGCGAATTTTATTGCTTGGGCTACTGGTAATGCTATTGGTAAGTGACGTCTTGGTCATATCATGATTTCTTACCGTCCTTTCCGTTGGTAAACAAAACAAAACAAAAGAAAACAAAGCCTAACTTCCACGTGCTGCGTAACAGGACCCCAAGTATTCCTCGCCTGGAACGCGCCTCGTTATCTGATTGCGTTTTCAACGCACATGGGCTGCTATGCGCTTCTCGTCCTAGTTGTCATTTTCTTGCATTTCTACTTGAAAGCTCAGAATAAGGGGAAGGATAAACTGCAAGCGGAACTTGCGGCTTCTGGAACCGTTGTTGATGAGGGGATGGTGCATGCGTTTGATGATTTGACTGATAAAGAGAACCCGAACTTTCGGTATGTGTATTAAAGAAAAGGTGGGAAGACTTAGGAAGCTTTTCACCCAGGGTTTGACATAAGAAGTATGAATAGTTTAATGGTTTCGAGTTATTTCATGTTCTATATATATACTCTTGTAGCCTTACTCAACATTTCTATTTATGTCAGTACATTCACAGGTGTTGGATAGCCAAGTGGAACATCCATGTGGTCTTGCAGGTTGCTGGTTGTTGCAGATTCGACGTGGATAGCTACTTCTTTTACTGATCCGGGCCTTGTCTTTTCGGTATCAAAGTAGTTCGCCTCCAGCATAGCTCCCTCAAAAAAGTTGGTTTCTGGCAGATGATCAGAGGCATATTGAGGGATCCAGCCAGCAGCCTCCCCCACCGATGTCATTGAAGTCGTCCAATCTCAATTGTTGTGAAGGAAACGCCAACAGAGAGACAGTACCTACCTAAATAGGTAGTTGCATGGGAAAGTGATGGCAGCAGGTTGCAAAAGGAGGGCATGGTATTCTTGTAATCGAAATGGGATGCGCTTTGTGCACCTATACAGATTGTATTCTTTGGATTTGAATAACAGCAGCTAGTAACTGAAGAAACTACTCGCACCTACGCCGCAGGGTGTATGTACAAAATAAGAGATAGATTCATACTCTCGTGACAACACCAAGATGCTCCACCTCACGATTTTCAACACCACTCGTCTTATGAACTTACACTCGTCGCTTGGTCCCACGGAGCGTACTCCACTCTCCTAGAAATAGGTATAGGAAGAATTTTAAGAGCCAGAGGAACATGCTAGCAATCAAGATGTAGGTTCGAGTCTCAGGAGCGATTCCAACTGTGCGTGGGATGATTCCCTGCATCTTGATTAGCTCTTGATAGAGTTGGGCGACGGTTGATTTTAACAATCGGTGTGTACTCACCTCTGAGCTGTTCGCTATGATGCCCTCGTCCTCGATGTGCCCTTGCTCAAGATCCTCCTCCTCAGGGTCTCCCTCGACAGTCACATCTTCAGTAGGGTCTCCTCCCTGACCACCGGTGTTTGATCCCCGCGCAGACAGACGATTCGATGCGACATTAACATTTCCTCTCTGTAAGCTGTTCGTATTGGGTAGGTTTTGTCCCTGAGGACTGCCGTTGCTAGCTGAGTGAGTAGCTCTCTCGTTGTTGGGACGGACGAAGCGAAGGGCTAATGAATTAGAGCTAACGACTCACCAGACTAGATTCTGTTGTGGATCTTGTCAGACTTGTATGCTACTCTGCTATAGTATAACGGCGCATGCAAGGAGCGGGTCAATAGAATAATAAACTACATATGGAACAATGAAGATACCCAGCTACCGTGAGGTCGGAAAGCTGTGTTGGCTGCTTACTATTTCATGAAGCATAGATTGATTTGAACCCATCTCCAGCGACGCATACAACACTTGAAGTCTATAAAAATTCCAGTTCGGTTTATTCAGACGCAGCAAGAATTCGGGAGGTAATTATCTGAAATGGAATAACGCTCAGAAGTCGAAGTCGTGATGGGTGATGTTGAGTCCTTGGCTGTTGATAAATGGACGTCTTTTGTTTTACGGATGCGGACATTGGAACTATTTTGTAGAAAACATGCGAATGGCAAGGCGAATAGTGAGGCGGACTCAGTGATGATGTTTAAAATTCAATGAACATTCTCGAGGCTTGATGAACAAGGTAGTGTTGTTGCATTTAGCCTCAGCTGATGGCAACCGAGCGAATCAAAGCCCCTTTACTATCCAAAGACGATCATGCATGATTTATCTCTGCAGCCTTGCGTAAAGAGTGGCTCACTTTATAGCAAACAATGGGCAGAGAGAGAAATCATATATGGCGATGAACCGAAACACTGTCGGGTTTAGGACTGGGGGATGGGCCATGCTGATTGGTCTGCCTGTTGAATTCCTCCTGTGCTTAGTTGGTTTCATTCTTGCAGAGAATCTCTGGTAGGGTTTGCAGGTTAAACTATTTTGTAGTTGTAGTATTTTTCTTTGGTTGGAGAATCTTCAATGGAGGTTATCAATTTTTGAGACTTTGAATCCGATTAGTGATTTCAAACTCCTGCGTGGTTGTTTTAACATGTGAAGCCCCTCTCCGTAGTAGAAAATGCCCCCGCTGATATGTCATAGAGATGTTTTGATGTTTCTGTCTGGGAAACAAATTATCTCATCTTCGTAATCTGAAATTTTTCTTCTCGTAGTAATGCCATTGCGTGTCAATACCATAACTTCCATTTCGCTCGTATATTTTTCAAGACCGATGTGTCCTGGTTTTTGGGATCAAACCTTGCAAATACCAAGTCTCAAGGTCTGATTAATTTTAGGTGAAATCCATGGAAATGGTGAAATGCTCCTGAAGCGTATCGTGAAATGCAATGCTACCCTGTACAGGATGTGGCATATTACCTCTATAATTTGTTAGCTTACATTGTAGAAGCAAGCGGTTTTTAAGAATACCTGAATCGATTCCTCAAAAGGAAGAAGGAAAACTAATAACCAGCTTAAGCAGGTAGTATGACTAGTAACTGTGCCGGGCTATAAAATCTAAGACTTATTCTAAAAGCTAGCTAGTAGTAGAGGAACAATTAATGTAGTGGTAATATAGTCCTTAGTATATAAGAGAGTAGATAGAATAGATTAGCAAAGTAGGCTTATATTGCATGGTATGAAACTATTATGCGCATAACCTGAGTCTGTCTTAACTTATAGAATATGTATGTATCAGCGCTGGTACGTATACGTGATGTTGAGTATTGTTTTAGGCCCATAGCCTTTCCCTTCCTTCCCTTTCCTAACCTTCCCATTCCTTGCCATCAAAAAAATATCATAGGCCTCCCATGAATATAACCCCTCACCTCAGCTCACGACACCCCCATAACCCCGGCCTTGGCACATCCCGCGTCCTCCGCTTCTGCGTCCCTACGGTACTAGGTGACTCTTGCTGACGTTTCCGTTTCCGAGAAAAATGTGTGGTCAGGTCTAGATATATTACTATGGCGATAAAGAAGAGTGAAGTTGCGAGGAGAATGATATTTGCGGTGTCGTGGGGCTGGGATAGAGATGAAGACATTTCGATGTTGGGGGATGGGTATTGGCTTGTGTTTTGTGAGTGTTAGTTGGATATAAAGAAGGAGGAGGGGGGTATATAGAGGGAATTTGATGTTGTGGATGTGTTAGGGTGTTATTAATGTTATGCGTTGCTGGCTGTGAATGTGTAGCTATACGGTACATAACACTTGAGACCTGTTAAATTTTTAGCTGAGCTTGAATCATCTTTTGGTCTAAAATATCGGTATTCACAGGAGAGCTGTTACGATCAATTAACAGATCTTATATACTGCCAGCTAATACAATAGTTTGCTTCAATGATTGCCACTAATCACATGATACTCTCCCCTATTCACCCGCGAGAAGTCCGCTAGCCCCGATTACGTTAGCCGTACTGTCCCACATAAAAGCGCGTTCTCCCGACGGCAAGGCTGCAGCGCATCCATTGACCCCACCAACAACTTCAACTTCGACTCCATATCAACTTCCACATCCCACCCCACTCAACATCTACAAACTACACACCCACAACCCAAGAAAAATCCCCAAGCACAAGCGCAATCATGCTCATCAAGTACGCCTACTCTCCTTCCCATATTTGCGAAATGTTCGCACGCTGACGTGAAACAAAGAGTCCGAACACTGACCGGCAAGGAAATCGAGCTTGATATCGAGCCCGAGTACAAAGTGCCACCCCCCCTACCTCCTTCATAACCCTTCGCGCGCCGCGCCAAGATTGTTCTTACGTGCGTGTGCGGACGGAGTTTAGATTTATTTACTATAAAGTGGAGAGAAGAGCTACTACTACTGCTAATACGGGTACCCAACAGGTATCGCAAATCAAAGAAAAGGTCGAGGAGAAAGAGGGTATACCACCTGTACAACAACGTCTTATCTTTGGCGGGAAGCAGATGTAAGATTCCCTCTATCCCCTCTACCCCCTTCTCTTCCTCTATCTCCTCCCCCTCTCGTCTCCTCGGCCCTCTTCTCCTCTCATCCTTCCCTTTACTCATTTTGTGAACGGGGACTAATCAGCGTGTGCACACATAGGGCCGATGACAAGACGGCCGCGGAGTATGATCTCGAGGGGGGAGCGACGCTACATTTGGTTCTTGCGCTTAGAGGGGGGTGTTAGTGTCAGTGTTGGTGTTGAGAGGGGAGGGGTTTCTTCGCATACGAGCGTGCATGAGCATGATGATTGGACGTGTACCGGCCGGACGATACATACATACCTACATACATAGAGGGATGGATTTGCAGGGTCTACGTATGTGGTTTTGCGTGAGATTTATCTGGCTGGGCAAATGATATGATGGATGGATGGATGGGTGCGGTACGCATTTGCATGATGACGGATGAATGGATGGGATGGCGTTTTCTTCATTTCTCGCTGGGTGTGTGCGTTGAGGCAGCCGGACCATAAAGCATCAATAGACAACTGCTACGATATCAATCCGCTCTGATTTTTTTTAGGTGACAAGCGTTTGCAAAAAAGCTTCCAGCACTTGACTATATTGAATTTCTAAAGCTACTGTGCACATGATGCATATCTTCATATAACTCCACGCTCCTGTACAATAAGTATTTACGCCAAACCACAAAGTAGAAACACAAATCTGGCTACCCTACCTAGCAACTCGAGGCTTCTTCGCACCACGGTTGAATATGTCAACTGGAGGACGCTTTCGCGGCATCATTGGTTTTGTTCCCGGGGCGGGACTCGATGTATTTGCACGAGGCGGGGTAGAGTTCGTAGGCTGGGGCCGGGGTGAAGATGAAGGTCTGCTTGTATCATAGGCTCCAAGGGTTGGCTGTGAAGAAGATAGACCTGGACGCGGGCGGCCCATATCTTTTGGCGGGGGACGTGAAACCGAAGAGCTGGGAAGAGGTTGAGATGATGGGCGTGATACATGGGATTGAACAGGCTGTGCTGCTTGAGACGACTGTTTGGGTTCGTCGTCAAAGAGATCATCGACCTCATTATCGACCTCATCGGATGTATCCTCGTCAGATGAACCAGTGCCCTTGGTACCTCCCCCCATAGCGGCCCTCAATCTCTTTTCCCTCTCTTCTAACGATGGACCACTGATTCCCCCATTATACTGACCGACTGCTGGAGTCTTCTTCCTTGACAAAATCCTCAGCCCCGGATTAGCAGCTTTGCGGTACTCATTAAGCATGCCCGCCGGCGCCTTTGCAATCTGCCTCTTATCCCCAACCAACATGTTCGTCGGCTTAGCCAACTTGCCCCTCGCACTAATCTCCCTGGCCTCCCTCCTCGCCCTTGTCAGCACACTCTTCCCATCTTTCATCTTCGTCTTACTGCCTCCATTAAACATAAGACTGGTTGGAGCTAACTTCGCAGGCCCACTAGTTCTCTTCCCCAGTGGCACACCCCCATAATTAGCCAGCATGCGCGGGTCTTTAGGAACCTTAGGTAGGGTCCTATGGTCCACAATCCTGCTAACCTTCGTCTCCTGCTCCTTCTTGATACCCATCATAGTATTTCTAAGAATCTCTTCATCCCGTTCAATCTGCTTGCGCTGCCACTTCTTGTACTTGCAATAGAGCTCGTACCATGCGAGCGGTTCCTTGGGGGTCCAACTCTTCGAAGCCCAGTTTGGGATGTCCCGCGCGATGAAGGTGCGCCAAAGATCGGCGTCTTCGCCCATTATTTGTGGGGAGCGGAGTTCGATTTGGTGCAGCTGTTCTGGGGAGTCGATGCGTGCGAGGACGCTACGGATTTTCCAGTATTCAAAGTCGCCTACATCAGTGAGACCTGGGGAGTGAGTGTTAGCTAGGGAGAGGGGGGAGAGGGATCGAGGGGTGTACTTCGAATATTCTTTATGCATGCCTTCTGGCTGGAATCGAACAGAGATGGGGCGGGCATTTTGTCGCTTTCGGGGAAGTTGCAGCAAGAAGGGTATTGAACGGAGGTACGACAATGATTCAGGGGCTTTGTAGTACCCTTTGAGGGGTTGGTAGATGGAACGCAGCCAAAGCGCTTACGTGGTGTCTCTCAATTGTGATGCACAATATTGCAAATAAGCTTAGCTGTACCGTATTTTAGCAAAGTAAGCAATGTGAGGAATATGAAACATATGTCAGAGATCGAGGAACATGGTGAGGGATGTGAGAGAGTGAAGTTGAGAACAAAGAAGGACATGGCGATGGTTCAGCTATTGACAAGGCTAGAGCGGGTGATGCGGCCAACGCGGCCGCTCATTCCTCTCCAAGCAGTTCAAGTTCTGAAGTATTAACCTGCATCTCCATAACAACCACCAAATCAAGTCTGTTCCCTACAATGGCTTCATATCAACCTCTTGATCCTCGCGAAGAGGATGAGCTTCATAAATCACGCCTCCTAAACGTAGAAGAGAAACCATTCCGGCGCGTGAGCAAACGCCTCATTGCCCCAGGCTCGCTCGTCTCAACACCCTCCAAACTCCCCACCCCACCCCCCGACGCCGCCGATGATACCTCTCCCCTCGAAAGCTTACTCGAAGAGCGTCGTCAATTCCGGGAAGATGTGCTCCTCGATTTCGCCGCGTTCGATAGCAGCATCGCGCGCATCCAATTCCTATACAACAGCAACGAGCAAGAGCGGGAACGTTACAAAGCTGATAAACAGCGGATCCTTGAAACAGCGCAGAATGTGAGGGATAGTACCGTCACGTTGAGGGCGCAGCTTGAAGAGGCGAGGAAGACACTAGAGCAGAGGAAGAAGTTTGATGTTCTGTCGGAGAAAATCACGAATAATGTGCTATTGAGACCGCGCTCAGATCAGGAGCTTAATTTGAAGAAGTTGGAGGAGGAGTGTAGGGAGTTGGAGAAGGAGAGCGCTGCATATGGGGAGACGTGGAAGGAGAGACGGGAACAGTTTGGGCGCATTGTGGAGGAGGGGATGCAGTTGAGGCGGCTCATTAGGGATGAGAAGGAAGAGGTGGAGAGGAGGGAGGGGATGGATGGAGGAGAGGAGGATGGGGAAGTTGGTGAGGGCTCGGGGGGTGGACAGACGCCTATGAACGGGAATGCGACTCCGAGACCTGACGCCGGCCAGGAAAGCAATAGTCCCGACCAAGGGTTGAAGCCACGACCAAACGCTTCTGGTACACTGTCGAAATCGGGCAGTAGGAGCACAAGCCGCGCTCTGTCTCCTTCCGGAAGAGAGGGTTCTGCGCTGGCGGAGGAAATGAAGGTTATGGACACGGACATTGTGGTAGATATACAAATGGGCGAAGGAACAGAGACTCCGCGCGTCACGGTCGATTCCCCAGAGGCACCTTCACCAGAGGAAGGCGAGGCAGAAGACAAGATGGACACCACGTAATCGTAGGCATATGTGCTTGTACCATAGAAAATTAAAGCAAAAGCAAAGCATGATACCCCCAATCTATCTATTTTCCCATGCTATACAAGGTCATTCTGCCATAAACACCATCTAACCACCCAGGGTATCATTCCACTCATATCATTCATTCGTCCACCCCCTCGTACGATCCGCACCTCATTTATCGGCCTCCTTCGCACTCTCTATCGCAGTTTTCGCCTTCTCCGTCTCTGCCTCACTCGCAGTCCCCGCCTCAAGTTGGTCCTCAAGCTTATGCACCGCGTCCGTAATGCGTTGACGGAGCGGTGGGAAGACAGCCCGCGTCTCTTCTATTGCGGTTTTCTATTTATTCATCCAACTATCAGCTGTGCGTCTATCCCCCCTCTATGTAGGAATATAGATACAAAGATAGACAAACCTCTTGCTTAACCAGAAACTCCCTATTCCCATCCTCGTCGCCCTCGCTCTTCAGCAGCTTCTCCAGACGAGCCTCCTGGCTGGCGAGCTCCTTGTGGTACGACACCTCTTCTTTGACGAGGCGCGTGACAGAGCTGGTCGCGATTGCGATTTGAGAAGGGGGAGGCATGTTGGAGGTGGGCTGGGGAAGGGGGCGGGTTTTTTGTTTGTTTTGGAGGTTGTCTGTTCTTGGTGAAGGAGGGAGGGGGAGGGGTTGAAAGAGGGGTCGTCTAAATGTTCACGCCGCAACCGCGCTAGTGAACCATCACTCCTATTATCTTCATGTTTTCTCATATAGTTCGAATAATTAACCCCAGAGAACTTTCTAAAATCTTCATGAGCACTCTACATCCAGTCTTCCTAATACCGAAAGAAAGGGCCTGTAATAAGAGTGTTTGAAATTACTTGCCGGAGGGTGGTTTGGGGGCCATGTTCGATTCCTGGCTTCCTTTAATTTTCAACATGATACGGTACTACTCCTGGTGACATAAGGTAAGAACCCCTTCGACTTGCGCATGCGCGCGAGGAAACAAAAATCAACGAAAAGGCAGATCTAATGTGCATCCGCGGGTATTGGAATGATTTGTTATGACATTGTTGCTATTCTCTCGGGCAGCCATGATGTCTCCCTCGACGATAATTATTGGAACTCAGTTGGAAGACGGTAGACGAAGACGAGCAGGAGGGTGAGAAGGAAGACCACGAGAAGGGGATGTATATCATGACGGGGAGACTGGCCGAGGCAGCTGGAGTCACCTATCTTACAGAGGGAGTGCATAACTTCACACTCAAGAGCGGAGCCAAGTTACGGTTTATGCTTCGCCATACCAGCCGAGATTCGGGGATTGGGCTTTCCCTTACGAGAGAAACGAGGACCGTTTAATCCCATCGGACCCGCACCGGGAACCGTTTCGATCTCTCCAAGCCCCGTTCCAGATTCGCCGGATGTCGATATTATGATGACACATGGACCGCCGATGGGTCTTCTAGATGAATCTTTGCATAGACATCTAGGCTGTGCGAGCTTACTGCATGCTCTTCAGCGTTGCAGGCCGCGGATGCACTGCTTTGATCATGTTCATGAAGGCTATGGGGCGAAATTGGTAGCTTGGAAAGAAGATGATGATGAGGTGGAGACTGTGTACCAAAAGGCGCTTGACAAAATCAACTGCTATCCTGGGACGGTCTACTGCCCGATGAGCTTCCAGAAAGAAACATTGTTGGTTATTGCGGCGATTATGGATGGGGGAAACAAGCCGTGGTTGGTTGATCTTGACTTGCAACGAGCTTGATAGGGGGGAAGACAGCAATATGGGCATAGTGCGCTCAGTAGCATTACTCCGTATCCAGTACATTATAGTAAGGAATTTGATAGCCTGCTCAATGCCATGGATTGGATGTGGAGTGTGGGGTTATTACGGGTGTAGAAGACAGAGCCATGCGACGGATGGCTCGAGAAATTCGACAGGTAAGTTTAGGAAAGTGGGGGAAAAGATTGACGCCTGATGCTACTCTACGGGGAGACACGTTACTGTTGGGCTGTGAGATTTTAGACTGCTTCTATTGCGTCGTTGGTGTTGTGGACATGGGTTTAAACAAAATCAGTCAGTTTCTAAGCATGGCTTGTTTAAGGATCATCATGCACGGTGACCATTATCACAGTTGGGACCACCACCTAGCCAGGATAACTGGTGGGCGCTTGTTAGTGCTTATTAGTGCATGTAGGTTGCACGTATTATGAGCTGATTCGGGTGAAGGGTTGCATTGAGGTTATTCGCGAATAAGGCAAGCGGGCAACTCACATGCAATGCAGTACGGAGAGTAGCGCTCCTCCAGGTCATCGCTACCAACGTGTCGGGACTTGGCCAGTCCAGTGACACTCGGATTCCAATCGCACGCATGTTGTATTCGGGTCGAGGCCGAGCAGGCAGACCAATCAGCGGGGTGCGTCCGAGTTACCCGACCATGCCAATGTTGGTTGGATGTTGTCGTCGTTTTCTTATCTGTTAGCCTTTCCCCTCATTCCAAAATGTTTGTTCTCTACGAACTCGTGTCCTTTCCAGAGTGCTATTTGCATTTATTTCCTTATCTGACTCGCTTTCTCTATTTCCCGGCGTCCACGCAGGACACTTATAGGAGCGGAGTCAAGGCAAGGATCATCAAGAGCCCCTGCAAATGGAACGCACACTACTACCAGCTGCCAGACCCTTGAGTTCCGGTGATAGATACCCTTTGAAGGATGGGGAAGAACTGTCCCTTCACGAGGCTATCCGGCTTCAAATAGGTATGCCCAAGTCTGTTTGTTCCCCTATCATGTTCCTAGCCCCCTGGTGGACATTGAGATATGTGCCACTCACTGAATATATCATTCCTGTGAATGACTGAAACGAGAGCCGCGTACTAGCATTGCTAATAATCAAAAGAATCTGTCACAGGTCCACGATTCTGGGATCAATTTCCGAACGGGGTCGAAGAAGCCATGCTCTATCCAGAGCCGTCAAAACATGGGCGAGAGATGCCATATTACTGGCAGTTTAGTTTACAGTATCCTAAATTGCCTGAGTTTAGCCCAAAGCTCTGGTCAAAGCAGCAACAACTGGACTGTAAAACTGCACTCGATAAAGGTTGGCTATCGGTGGTTCCTTTAGCCACCGAGCCTGAACCCCAACAGCTGGCAAGTCCGGATTTGGAACAAGGCTCCCTAGAAGTCTCTTCTATATTTCATCACCACAGCTTCCCGACAGTCACTACGGTAAGCCAGTACCCAATTATTATAGAACCTCAGATGGTGGAGCCTGCCTCGCCCTCATCAACCGCATCTGGACATTTGGAGCTCCAGGAGCAAGAACTTGACGAAGTCTTCACTGCCCAAACAACACCGGAGCAATCAGCAGCCATTGAGGACGAAGTCGACAAGATGCTACGGGATAGCTTAGTCTCTACGCTCAAAAAGAAGCTCCAAGAAGCTAAGATGAAGGCCAGTAACCATGCGCCAGAAATTCATACCTTAAGGACCGATCTTGCGGCCTCCAATGCTCTTCTAAAAGGGGCACATGCACACCTACAATATGCTCTGGAAGAGGCTGCCGACGTCCATTTACACGACATCTCCGCTTTGAAAGCCAATCTCGCCTCTCGCATTCAAACGATACACAACGAACTCCAAACCGCATTGCAGGAGAATACCAATCTCAAGGACTACCTCCGTCGAGCGTACGAGGATTTTAAAGCAAACGTTGTAAGGTTGGAAGAGATAGCCATGGAAAAGGCCAGAGAAGTCCAAGACGTGATCCGAGCCAAAGACCAGGAAATAATGCGCTTGGAAACGGAACTCTCCCCGCCAGTACAGTCAGTATTAGAAGCACAATCCCGCAAAATAACACGTCTGCAGACCGAGCTCGCCGAAGTTAACGCTTCAACGAGTGCCAACATTTCACAGCTGGAACAAGCGAATTCTGATCAGACGAAGGAAATCATAGTGACAGAGTCAGTACTACAAGCCCAATCGAACGAAACCATGCGCCAACAAACCGAACTTGAACAATTCAAAGCTCGTACTGCTGACCATGCTTCCGCGCTCGAGACACAGCTCCGAGAAGCGAGGATTGCGTTGGCAGACCAGAATGCGGAAATCATGCGCCTGAAAAGAGAACTCCCAGATCCAGCGAAATGTGTCTTGGAAGCGCAGTCGGCGGAAATAATGCGTCTGCAAACCGAGCTTGAGAACGTGAGAATTCTAACAACGGCTAGGATTTGCGAGCTAGAAGCACAGCTTCGAGAAGCCACAAATAGAGTGAGTGGTCTTCGTCTCGCAGCTGAGGGCAAATCTCAATCAACCCGTGAACGATTGGAGGCCCAGGTCAACGAAACAATGCGGTTGCAAACCGAGCTGGAAAACGCCGAAAACCATAGCGCGGAGAGGATTTCGGAGCTAGAAGACAGAATTGCAGAACGGGATGACCAGATTCTTGATCTTCGTCAAGCTGCCGAGGAGATTTCTCTAGAACTGCAGTCTCGATTCGCTGTCCCATCAACAAAAGTCGTGGCTCTCAAGTCTGAACTTGAAGCTGTCAAAAGTCAATCAGATGCCAGAATCTCAGAGCTACAGGCTGAGATTGAAGACCGACAGATCGAATATGACACCAGACTCTCAGAGCTAGCATTACAGCTTCAACAAGCTGCAGAGGAAGCTCGCGAGTTCCCGGCGCAGCTGCTTAAAGCACAGCAAGGTGGAGAGGACGCCGCGAGGCAGGCAACGAGCCCCGAATCGCCTCACAGTAAAGAATCTTACGACGATGGGTTCAAGGCGGGATGGGCGTTTTTGTTTGACTCATTGGAAGTAGACTCGGAGCTTTCCGATGGCGACACTAAACTGGCAAAAGCTCAGAGGCACAATGAGAGGAGTTCATTGACTACGGTTGTCGCTATATGTCCGGAATTAGACGATTGCAGTAATTATTCTCCTGCTCGGATCCGGGCTTCACTTTCAAGCGAACCACCGACCATCCTAGAGGCTACGGAAACACTCGAATGCAATTCAACATCTGCTCGGACTCGTAGGGCCCTTTCAAGCGAGCCGCAGACTAGTCCCTCGCCAACGTCCCCCCAAAAAAGACGACGGCTGTCAACTTCACCCCTTCCAGAAGCAGACCCCGTTTCCTCGGTTCCAAGTTCTGGAGATACGGATACTATTGTGGTTGATATCGGAGATCGTCCGGTGCAGAGCCATCTGAGAAGCCATTCAAGAACGGTGGCGGGTTATGATTCAAATTTGTATGCGGAACGACCGAAGAAGCGGAAGCGGGGGAGGCCGAGGAAGGTGGTGGTATGTTTAGATGATTAGATGATATGAATGATATGTAAAGGTACCATACTATCTCACCTTCAAGGACTATTTTTACTTCATCTCGCGTGAGGCCATCGCGTCAGGCGATTGGGTGCTTTTGCATATATGGAATTCTCGAACACCCAATTCTAAAGCCTCCCTGTGCATAAACGAAATAAGTGTAAAGGAGTTCCTTGAAGGTGAGATAGATAGTACGGTATTTGCAACTAGTCCTTTTGCATAAATGTTGACAGGAATAAAGTCATCAATGCTAGAGCTGTCTATATAGTGTCGTTATATAAATCGAGCAATAATTAGAGTGCCGAGCGCGGGCGCGGGCGCGGGGGCAGGGCGGGGCACTAGTGGCTGCGATCAGTAATAGCCCCACACGGATCGTGACCACAGAGACGTCAAAGAACAATGAAACGCACCCTGAGCCATCGGCTCAGGCCAGCTTTTCACACCAGACTTTCAGCCCATCTCGCTCTTCTTCTAAACGCCGGCTATCAGTCGTTGACCTATCTGACGGTTCCTCCATATCTATGACACCCGAAGCCACCCCGAAGCCTATCACCCTTGGACACAGTCAGGCAGTGCCGAGTAACGAATCGATTGAGGGTACCAGTCATGAGACTGCTCCCACGAGTCTTGAACCTGACTTGCAAGAGGCCCATTCTGCACCTATGAACAGGGAACACAGCGAACCACCTATTTCTGAATCCATTAGCTCGCGGCCCGAGACTGATACCCGGAGATCCCACGCAGTTTCTGTTGAGCAACAATCAGAGCCGTCCTCTTGTTCTGTGCCAGTCGGCCCCTCTTACGTGGCCGACTTCCAGAAAATATATCACTGTATGCCCAAGCCGCCCATCATCAAGCCAGCTTACAAGTGCTTCAGCGGGAACTCGATGTTCCTAAGGTCGGCTTGGAACAGAATGTGATAGAGATGAATAATCTCGGAGACCAACCCAAAGACATGAAGGATCACATTAACAAGCGTTCTTCTGTTATTTGCAGCCTCGAGGTCCAGGAAGAGAAGCTCGAGGAGCAAGTCGAAAGGCTCGAAAAGAAATTTGAAAAGTTCCAGAGCAATTCCAGTATAGAACCCGCCCCCGCCCCCGCCCCCGCATCAACAGAGGGTCTTCCAGAAGTAGCAACGCACGATGAAACCGAGGCCGGAACTGATACATCAAGTACTCCTCATGTCCAAGTTAGCTCCCAAGCACCTGCTACTTGTCCGACCCTGTCTGGACATGTTAAAGGTTCAGAACAACACAACTCGGCCAAAGCTTCTAGTTTGCGAGAGACTGGAATGAAGGCTCTCCATGTCTCTCTTAAGTTTGACAATCAGCCGCGCATTACTCCTCGAAACCGAGACGAAGTAGTCGAAATCCCCGAGATGCAGAAACCTTCCAACGGCATTCCAGAAGGCTCGAGAGGCCTCGCAAATCCACTCGGACTGAAAATGCTAACTTGCAGACGCCTAAATCCCAAGAAGATGCTCTCGGCAAGGTGCGTCTCTCAGGTCTTCCTCCTATTCATGTAGCCATCAAGGAAAACTGGAATCCCTCCCTACTATTCCCGGAAAGAATGCTTCCTCAGCTACAGCGAGGCACATACACACCAGCACCTTTAGCCGGCTTACCTGAGCTGAGTGGGAAGGTCCCCGCAGCATGAGGGGTAGAATTGCTGGACAGGACCATTCAAAGACGTAGCGATAATCTGCATAGCGGTCAAAAATATTCGGTTGCGCGGGATTCCAATGTCACCCAGACTTCGACTCGCGCACCTCTCCGAGCTCTTCAGCCCAAACTTGTCTCTCGTCATGACACCGGCGACTCTACTGGAACTCAACACGCGATTTCCGTTCCTGCTCCTATAATACCCGCGCCATTCACCTTTCAGAAACGCCGGCTCTCAGCAGAAGCTGCACCTGGCAATCCCTCAAAGCGAGTTCGATCCAATTCGGGATCCGCTATCGACGGCTCCAACGGGGCCATCGAAAGAGCATGCGTGTATGCATTCGGTCGTATATGGTACATCACATGCGCCAACGAAAGGTCCATACTTATCACCATACCAGGCAGCTGAAAACAAGGCCTCAATAAGTTTCCGGACAGGCGTCACCCCAGGGCCCTACGCATGGTGAAAACTCTCGACCGAATTATGATCAAGTTCGTCCAAGCACTCCAAACCATCCGCAAGCGCCTGTGAAGCGCAGGAGAGGGCGGCCGCGAAAGTATGCTAATCTTCTCTCACTTTAATTTTCGGTCAACAGAGTTGCTTGGCTTGCTTGGCTATTTCACGTCGTGGGCCGTGTCGGGGACATAGGAGCATGGCCAGGAAGGGGCGTGCAACATAACGGAGGATTAATGAAGTCACGAATATCAGAAAGGTGACTGTATAAGTAGAAAGCGAAAATCTTGCAATCAGCTAACAAACAAACACATAAACATCTATATAAATGTCTCGTCCTAATAACAACCTCTTACATACGTTGCATTATTTCAAAGACTCCATGCACGTGACTAAAAGAAGAGATAAGATCCCAACTAGCGCGGAACTGTCAAATTCAGACATCCATTCGTATTTTACTCTTACTAAATACATATTTCCTATGTTGAAATCGTAAATCTTTCTTGGCTTATTGTAGATTAAGCTATACAACTTAATTCACGTGCCCTAGTATAGTTGATTTAAGTTACCCACCCGGCTAGGCGGGCACTAAGTGTGAGCTTAAATATATTTCAACATTAGCTTTCATCATCTAACAACATTCTAATGATATCTTCAAAATGAGGCGGTCGACGCGGCGGGCCCTCTTTCAGCTTGCGCTATTCTTCGGTGCACTGTTTCTTATTTTGTTCCTCAACCGTTCGCAAGCAAGCAACCGGAGCTTTGCATGGAATAAAATACGCTACAGAACTGCTTCCGCGACGCTCCCTGAGGCTCAAGGCATCTGCCCCGGCTTAACAGATATTTCGAAGCCTGCATTAGTAGTCGCCCGGGTTGCTGCTGATGGAGATACCAAATGGCTTCACGAACTCAGTACTTTGTATCACCTCTGCATCTATACGGCTGACGCGCCAGCCGATGCGACTTCCTTACATCTCCAAGTACCTGCAAACCGTGGGCACGAGGCCATGGCATATCTGACATTCCTCATCGACAACTATGAGAATATTCCCACGGCAGGTGCTGTGTTCGTTCACGGATCCCGCTTCGCCTGGCACAACGACGCCCTGGACTACGACAACGCGCCTCTTCTGGCCGCGCTTAATGTATCCGCGGCACTTGCCCCCTTTGGATATCACAACCTCCGCTGTGACTGGAGCCTGAGCACTTGTCCTCCCTCTTACAAACCGCAGGGAAGCCTGGAGATGTCCACTCAAGCCTTGCTTGCCCCATACGACTCCCGTGCTGTATCCGATGCCGCGTTGCCCCGCGCCCTCGCAGACCTGTTTGGCGGCGAGGTGAAACTGGGCCGCACCAATGCTGTTCGCTCGCAATGCTGCGCGCAGTTTATCGTATCGCGCGATCGTGTATGGCAGCATTCCCGCGAGGAGTACGTTGCTTTGCGGCAATGGTTGCTCGATAGCAATGGGGCACCACGTGACGATCGGGTTGCTGGTCGGATCTTGTCATATGTGTGGCACATTCTGTTTATAAAAGCAGAACCCGATGCTCCAGGGTCCTCGTCTGGGGGGATTGACCTCGAGAAGCTCAATGCACACGCGTGCCCGCGCGCTGATCAATGCTACTGCCGCCTATATGGACGCTGCGATCTTAGTTGTACGAGCCCGGGGAACTGCCCTGGCCAATACATCTTACCCCCAAAGTTGAAAGTTGAAAGTCCCCAGTGACAGCATATCCATATATTCGAGACGAATCCAGTGACATTCTACGTTATAAACGTCCGAGCCCAACAAAAAGTGGGGATCATGCTATAATTCGTACGTGTGTTTGGAGTTCGGTTGGGTTGACAAGAGTTCGGGACCGGATCGAAGCGCCAATTGAAATAACGCCGACATGACTAGGAGACACGCTTAGTATCTCGAGAGGCGATTCGTTGAATCTTCTCCTTCTTCATCTCAGCCGGATGCCACGGGCTGAATCAAGGTACGAATAGAGTTGAAGGCAAAATGACCCACTACTAACTCGAGAGTCAAGGCATGAATTACGGAACACTTGATTGATTTTGATAGGGAAGATCAGCGAGATATGGTTGCTTCGAATTGGCTCTAGAGAATCTAGATATAACTGCAATATATTATTAAATGAATAATAGCCTATCACGAAGTACTTTTTTCAAATCGCTGTAAGCGAGGTGCGGAGGTCTACTCCGTGCCGCCGAAAAGTAATTCGAGTCCCGCTTTCTTTTCTCTAGTGAGGATTTACGGTGATACTCTAGTAATCTGCTAGATCTAAAGTAATTAAGTAGCTAGGAATAGTATTTAGAGATAGCATATCACTTGATTATCACTATAAATCTTTATTATAGAAGAACTAGAGCTTATACTTTTCGGCCGCGTAGAGTGATTTAAGATATTTTATATAAGCTTGTCGATTAGGAGTAGGGCATTGACATTTCTGTAAATATTATCAAATTCCGCGGAATTCAAGCATACTATAAGTAAGAGTAGAATCTTTGTTCCCTCGTAATATTATCCGTACTCCGTACAGGGATAGAGCGTTACAGTACAGCATGTAGGCCCTATCCCGGCCCCAGCCCCTGCCTTGATTTCTTACCGGAAGTCGGTAGATGTCTTGACGGAACTTCAAAATCGTCGGCTCGCGATGAAGAAGGCCTGGCCTCGCTTAGAAGGAGCCGAAGATTACGTGTTACAAAAGTTATATGTCACTAGGGATTGTTGCAGGGTTGTATTTATAGTAGGCAATGCTTTACAGTGATAGCAGCAAGCCCCCAGCTAATCAAAATCCTACCCAAAGATATAGGTCCCCTCTTGACACAATTTTTAGTCGTACGGAGTACCTCCATACGCTGCAGATCCCTCAAGACGACTACGTATCTTACTTGCTATTTTTTTAAGTCTAATAGTAGAGACTGTTTTTACTTCATAATTCTATACTCAGCGCTACTTAGAGAGGCTATATCTAACGAAATACAAGGTTGTCTTACTTTAAAATTGCTTTGGCCATTATCTTTCTTGCCGTTCTGTGAATTTGCTCTAGGCTTGGACCGAACCCCTACATGCAAATCATCCGTTGTTTAGTAGTTGCTAGGTACATTTTACGATAAAAATAGACGTTTTTAAGTACTCTCGGACCAGAAATCCATTAAAACCCCGCGTTTTAGACTTACAACGGTTCGCTCTACTGCGTCCACCTCCTTTACGTAGGATCCATCTATTCCACGCTAAACGGTATCCACTGTCAGCCTTAAGAAAAAGCGAGTACCGTAAGTGTGAGACATTACCAATAACCCTGTACCCGACGATGACAGGAGAGCATTTTCTGTATTCGAGGGGGACGTATACGTTAAAGGTCATTATCATTAAAGAGACGGTGATTCCATTTTCTAGGTCTGCATCCTATTCTCCGTTTCCTATCTGCGAAAGCAAGTTGGGATGAATTGGCTCCCTAAAGTCGAAGGCATGGCACCAAGGAGCTGGCTAGATCTGGAGATGAAAGGTGCGATCCTGGAGCGTCGTGGAGGAGGTCCTAATATGGTGACAACCACGAGAGTTGTGGTTTCAATTGTCGCTGCCTTGTCACTAATCGTTTGTTCAATGAGAGTACGCAAACCACTTCTAAATACCAGCTTTCTCGAGATTACTTGGCTAATTGTTTCTACAGTTATACGTTCGAAGATTTATCCGGAAAGCTTTTGGACTCGACGATTATCTTGTGATAATTGCTTTGATATCAGTCTTAGGATTTGCAATTCTCTCGATAGTAATCTCCTTCCATGGACTTGGAAGACGACAGGCTGGAGTTGCGCCAGAAGATTTGCTAATATTTCTTAAAGTATGTTTGCTCCATCCACATTATGATTGCGGGGAATAGGTTCTAACATTTTACTTCAACATCAGATATACTATATCGCGTTATGTACATACCTTTTTGTTGCATCCATGGTCAAGGCGAGCCTGACAATTTTCATCATGCGAATATTCCCAAACCGTAAGGCCACCTACAGACAAAGTTCAAACAGCGCTTATCTAGAGTCTTGCAGCATACATAGCGAAGATTGGGTACGGGATAATTTGCTTTCTGGTTGTGTTCTGCCTCAGCGGCGAAATTCCTCTGATATTGCAGTGCAGACCAGTCAAGTACGTTTGGAAACATCCCTTCGCAGCATCAGACTAACAGAATATGAAGGGCCGGCTTTGATCGTACTATCCCAGCGAAGTGCTATTCTACAGATTTGATGTATGCAATTACTTTATATCAGGGAGTGCTCATGTTTTTGGTCGATGTTATTTTAATCGCTCTTCCAATGCCCGCTTTATGGGCCTTACATCTACCCTTGAAGAGGCGCATCATGCTCATGGGACTTTTCAGCTTTGGTTTGCACTCTTTACGATACACTGGAATAATTCGACTAACAGGGAATAGGATTGGTAGCTTGCATTGCATCTTTGGTTCGATTCAGCACCTTGGCCTATACTAAAGACGAAAAAGACTACACTTGTAAGTTCCAAACATCAAGTTCCTCCTCCTCGTTCTACTCACTCACAATGCTAGATTCTGCTGCCGCTTCACTTATATGGATGAACCTCGAATTCAATCTAGGGTTAGTTGCTGGCAGCATCTCTTCACTCCGCCCACTCTTCAACATCCAAGCATTCTGGAGCACTCAAAACGATTCAAGCAATCGTACCCCAGGACGAGTTTCACAACATGGCACATCGAAAAAGGGCTACGAGCTCCAGAGTAGAGATAATTGGAGGGGCAAAGGTATCATGAGAACAAACGAAATAACAACCGTTGTCGAGGATGGGGTCTCGAAAACATCAAGCCAGGAGAGAATCGTGCCAAAATGGGACCAAGAGAGAATTGTTCCCTAAATGGATCAAATGAGTTGCTCCCCAAAGCAAGCTCAGCCTCCCTGTTTTTTAATTAGACAATGAACAATAATACCGTCGCCAGGAATTTATCCCTACTAGGACGCCTATGCAGATGGAAATTCTAGTGGAGTGAAAATCTTTGTCGATACGGAATACCTCCCGTTGCCAAGGATGACCCAACTTCCCTTTATGGACCATGTTTCAAATTCGGACCCGGGGCAAGTACCCGGAAGTATGTTCGCAACTAAATTACCTGCATGCAGCGCCCCGCATATGCATTATGCTTTTTCACTTGCAGTAGAACCAGGACATGACTAGGGCAAAAGGCAATAAACTTACAAGATAGTAACAAGCTAAAGAGATCTGTAGCGGCGTGGCCTTTATTTCCCCGCCGCGAAACTCTATATAAGCCCTACAAATGCATGTATTATAGAAGGATATAGTAGCATTCGTAATAAGACCCTATATGAAGTACGTCGTACTACTATACTATCTTACCACTTATGCCATTTCTTTAACACCGTCTTGCTTAAAAAAACTGCCGAGGGATTAGTCCGCCAGGTCTATGTAGTTAGAGTAAAGTGAGTTAAGTAAGAATCTTGCCATATATGCTAAAGCACCTAATCCTAGGGCCATAGCCTTAAGCGGGACCCTACCCGTATGAGGTAATTTACCTACTAACTCGCAGGTAACTGTTCAATTTGGTAATTTATGTTATATGTTCTTACTACCCTGAAAACGAAAGTAAGAAGTTGTCTCGTAAGAAGAAGCTTCCTCAAATTCTACTCTGCTAAGTGCTTCTCTATAAAGAGCCGCTGATTGGAACTGAAGACTAAGTACTCCATATCTTTGATCCACTGCAGCCAGAAACAGAGATTTGCAAATGTCTGGTTATAAATATATAACTTAGTAGTGCGGGCCCACGTTGGATGCAAGACGGCTTGATAAAAGGGAGGCCCGTTCACCAGGTCCACAGGTTTGTCGTGCATTTGGCCCCAGTGGGTCCGGATGAACAGGGGTTACTGCCGCGGCTACTACGGAGTAGCAGAGGCTTGCAGGGGTGAAGTGGAGTGGATTGCGAGCCTACCCGTGCCGCCTGCGACGTTTACGAAGTATAATTGATTACAGAGAAGCTCGCCTTACGAAGTAGAAGATCTTCAGAGCGCACGTACTCGCGGCAGAACGTTACGTACAGATTTCTTGGCGATCTGAGCATAGGGAGTAGGAGTTAAGGCTTCTTGATAAGATCTAATATTCATATATCCTTTAAAGGCTATAACTTAAAGGTCTTACTTTAAGATCAATTTGGTCTTATATATTATAGAATCTATACTACGGAGGTAGAGTAAAGAGACAGTCAGACCTAATTCGTCCCAGGCATAATAAATCCCCAACAGGGGTATGAAGGCAGGGGTTCCGCTAATAGGAGCTGTCATACTCCGTAGAAAACCACCCCTGGCACAACCCGCCCTGTCGGGGGTTTATCATGGCTTGGACGAAGTATAGAAGTTTATATCTACGCTGAGTAGTGGTTTCATGTGAAGGTGGACGAAGTATGATTAGCGAAGCTGCAGTCAACAAATACCACAAGGACGGACGAACCGCGGTTGGAAAAACCCTTGGCCTGGACGGAGTGCCAACATACGGTCGCCCCACACAACCCCTCCGTCGGATGTATCCGATACTCCGTAAACGTTCTCTGAATGGCACACTCACCTTTTAGATGCTTTTCATTTGGATATAACATACTTTTAAACATTGTATATAGAAGTACAAGGAACCTCTTGCCATCCTCTCGTATATACCACACTGTACCAGATCATTTTTACCTTGATTATTCATAATGACTTCCCCTTCCGAGATCCTCGCCAAGATCCCAATCGAATCCAAAGAAGCAGAAGAATACCTTTCCCAATTTGCAAGTTTGAGCGAGGAGGAGAAGAAAGCTACTCGTCCCGCGGCAATTGAGAAGCTCTTTCCATTGGTCTTTGGTGATATTGCTGCTATTGAAAGCTCTGAGAGTTTTGCACAGCTCAAACAGAAACCTTGGTAGCCATTGATTACTATCTGCAAAATAAGTAACTGGTTATAATAGCTAACTAATAGCTCAGGTCAACAAACTGCTGGCTCTCTCCCAAGGCAATCCTAACACCCGATACACCGGCACAAGTCTCACAAATCCTCGCCCTTGTGAAATTCCTGGGCGCCACATTTTCTATCCGCGGAGGTGGCCATTTGCAAAATCCAGGCTTCACGAGTAACGATGGCGGGGTGGTTATCAGCCTATGCCATCTGAAGGGCATCACAATTGCAGGAGATAAAAAGACAGCGACGATTGGAGCTGGCTTGAACTGGTTGGAGGTTTATAAGGAGCTTCATGAGCATGATTTGACTGTAACGGGTGGGCGAGTACCAAGTGTGGGTGTGCCAGGATTGCTCCTAGGGGGTGGGTTGAGCTTTCAGAACAGCGAACATGGATTTTCGTGTATGGGTGTTGTCAACTATGAGGTGAGTCTGCTCGGTTGAATGACAAAACTGTGCTGAGAAATCTTGACTAGGTTGTCCTCTCGGACTCAAAAATCGTGAATGCCAGCGCAAAGGAGAACCCGGATTTGTTCTGGGCGCTCAAAGGAGGATGTGCCAACTTTGGTACTTGTCCCTGGAACTTGAATCTAGAGCCCGTGAGCTAACATGCACACAAGGAATCGTCACCAGCTTTGAAATGGTCACACTTCCTAATAAAGTCTGGGCTGAAGCTCGTCTCTACCCCCCATCGCAAAACGTAGAGCTTATCGAAGCCCTAATGAAGTATCACGAAGGAATTGAGAAAGACAACAAAGCAACCCTCATTTTTCATGCCACCAGTCAAGCTACTCTGCTTGTTTTCTTTTACACAGCACCAGTCGATAACCCCGAGGTCTTCAAGCCTTATTATGACATCCCATTTCTTATGAAGCTTATCGAGCCTAGATGCCGGACTGTTTACGAGGTGATGCAGGGAATTGCGAATGTGCTTCAAGCGGAAACAATGGCGTGAGCACCGGAACCCAGTTCATTGAAGCAACTTAGCTGACTGATTTGAAGACATGACATGAGGACCATGGCTAGTTTACCAGATCTGGAAATGTACAAGGCCGTAGAAGAAGTCCGGTCACAGCAAGTCGAAGCTCTACAAGCAGTAGGCGTCGAAGATGTGCTCTTGACTATGGTCTTCCAACCCATTGCTACTGGCGCTATTAATGCATGCGATGCGGCAGGTGGGAATCCACTGGGTTTGAAAGCTCAGAACCACAACTGTAAGACATCTCATTTCATTCCCTTCCCACAAATTCCATACTTGTACTAATAACTCTCAGGGTTCCTCGTCATGGCCGATTGGAAGAATCAAAAAGACGAAGAAACAGTCCGTAAATCCCTTCGCACTATCATTGACAAAGGAGAAGAAATTTCCAAGAAGAACGGAACATACATCCCATTCAAGTACGCCAACTACGCATCGAGAGATCAAAACCCACTCGCATCTTACGGGCCGGAGAATCTGGCAAAGCTTAAGGAAATTGCTTTGAAGTATGACGCGGAGGAAGTCTTTCAAAAGCTGCAGAATGGAGGCTGGCTCTTATCAAGAACCTAAAGTTCCTAAACTTCCCTCGGTCTAGAACCTGTATCAATAAATCATGAGCTACTAGTATTGCGGTCACATTTGAAGCAAAAGTTGCCCTCTACCTCCTTGAAACCCCCCCCCAACACTTCAACACATCTTATGAATCTTCGCTCGCTTAGAATGCTACCCTATGAAGGGGCGCAGGGAGCAAAGACCGTAGCGTTCTCTGATTGCAAACGAGTGTTACCCTACTTCAGTTATCAACCACCTGTCGTGTTTGAGACCTTAGATAGTGGGGCCGGGAATTTGAAATCCATATCTATGTTTGTCGCATACCCATGGTAGGTGAGGCCCCCGAGGAACTATCGTGCTAAATGGTACTGCTTTGATATGATGTTATGGCTAAGGCCGTGCTTGAGAAAAAAGAGGTGTGGTTGCGCTAAGCGAGCCATCGCTTACTTGCCTAGCGGGGTGCGGAGAGCATTGGGCCCCCAAGAGCCTCTCGAATCATGTCTTTCTATAGAATCGCGGATAGCCTCCGTAGTACCAGACTAACCCAAAGTTGCGGGGCTGCTTTTCGGATTACCACTGAGAGACTCACATAATCAGCGCTGTCATGTAACTAGTGCTGCTAAATGAACTGACACCTTCATAACCTCATCTGGTACTGCATCAAATAGTAAAGCATCTGCTTAAAATTTAACTCGATGAATCCTGGCTCTCTTCTATAGGCTATCCCTCTAAGCAGGTTCCGTAAACAATGTCACTTAACTCCTATAGTATTTTACGGCCTTCCCTTCAAAAGTACTATCAATCATCAACGCTTAGGCTCTTTATTATGCTTGCCTATGCTGGACACAAGAAGCGGCATTTACTCTTATCAACTTTTAATAATGTCGCAGGCTACCTAGCATATTATAAACTAGTGCTGCTTTTCCTGTCTACTACGAAGCTTCTCATTTTATGGAATCAGCCTTAAAAAACTATAGGAGTTAAAGTGGATTTAAGGTTCCGCAACATATTGGATTCAAAAAATACATTATGACCTATTCGGGTGTGGTGCGGGGACTCGGGCAGGCCAGCGATAAGGGGTGATAGGGCTCAACGTTGTAGCGTACAATGTCTTGTGCTTGACTTTGACCATAAGATATGGAACTCGCTTATGAACCATAATGCATTAGGTTACAACCACTTAAATCTCATAATTTTTAAATAGGATGTGGAATGGACTAATCACTGTATAGTTGGTTGTGTGCTATCACGTGTATAAGGTGTGTGTCTGTTAGCAGAATGGGAGTCTAAGATCAACGAGCTTGATTCGCTCTAGCTATTCATCTGAAAATCCATGCCTGGGAAATCCCATTCCACAACAATGCCATGCCTCCTAAGCAGGTTGTCTCTGTCCTCCATAGCCCTTCACCACCCCCTCTGTCCATTCCACCACTTCCAAAAATGGGAACGATCGGCTTCAGATATTTCAATGTCCAGAAAATTCCACCCGTCGTCCTTAGGCTCAAGATTACCATGCACAAACTCCTTGCTCTCAGCAATCTCAGGCTCACCAGCCTCATCATTGCAAGTAGCATCCTCATGATCAGCGTCCGGGTCATGAGGGTATACAATCCCATCTTCTGAAGCATCTCGTTCATGATGTTTAAGATACTCGTCATCTTCAAGATACTTATCATCCAAACCCTCAGAACCAGAGTTGCCGTCATCATCATTATCCGAGATGTGTCCATCACTCTGAAGAGGGCTATTATAGAGGACAGGCGGTTTATTATAATTATTTGTAGAATCGCCAGAGTCCGAGCTGCATTCGGAGCCCGCACTTGGCGAACCTCTGAGCAAGGGAAATGGGGAGGGGATAGATTGGAGGACTTACCTTTCATGCATTCTCTCCATTTTCTTGCTGTATTTAGTTTGGTGGAAATTACCTCTTTGCCACTTGTCATGATTGTCAAAAGAGTCAATGGACCATGGTTGGGATGGAGGTGCAGGGCGTGCTGGTTGATCTTTTGAACAACAAGTCATATTTTGGCTCGGGTGATTGAAGGCTCTATTGAAGTGATATTGTAGATTTTGTGTATATTGAGGAACTGATGATAGAGTTGGTTAGATCTGAGAGATAGTTGATAAAGAGAAAGAAGTGAGGGAGAAGCGGAAAGCTTGAAGAATTAATACCTCTTTTCCAGCTATACTTTCACTTGTGAATCATAAGCCGAACGTATAAATCATCGTCCAAAGCAATTCATTAGAGTGAACCCGTTCCATAATATGAATATTATCGCGAATCGTTCCTTGTAGGATGAATCTAAAGTGTTTTCATCCTTAGTGACTGCGATATCACCGGAATCATCCAAGCAGCTGAAACATTAACTCCACTTAGCATAGATATTCGACAAATCTTCATTAATAACTAGTACTACATACCAAACCAAAAAAATCTACAAAGTACAGTCACTGATATTTGACTAACCGAATATTTTCGTAACATTATTACTTCTATTCTCATCTTCGTGTATCATTTATGTTATGACTGGACCTAAGTGATTGTGTAACACGACACCAAGTACAGCCCTCGATATACGTAACTTGGCCATCTTAGACTCATCAATCAGTATGAATATAAAAATAAAGGGATCGGAAAGTCACTCCAATACATGAAGGGAGAGACAGGTGGGATGAAATGAATGCAACATATCGGAGCAATGACTGTTGTCTCCACTACACCGATGAATATTGTATGTGGGAGAAATATTCAGACAAGAATAAACGAAAGGTTAGGAGAAGCATTTAACAAAAGGGGCACAGCATCGAATAATCGGTGTAGCGAAAACCTGGATTATCAATTGAAGGAAGGATCCCGAATATTGATGATCTAGACTTCGTAATCAACACCGTTAAGTGATTTTGCAGTTCCACTAAATAGGGGGCTAACTTACCGAATACGTCGTTTAACTCCTCATATAGCATGTAACAGTTAGCTCCCGCACAAAAAAGAGCCCAATATGGAAAGCGGGGCGTACCCTGCCTCCGCCGAGGCGGGCGGGTCAAAAGATCTCCGAACGCTTAGCTTTTCTATATAAAACCTATTGAATGACTTGTTATGTTTTCTAGGCATTAGATAAAGATTCCTAACTAGATCAAGTGCAAACAAACAACGCCTGAACCTCCCCCAAATTTTCGAGAAAACTAAGAGTTTGAAGTTCAAGATGGCTGTTGCGTAAGTTTCACAGTGGGAATGTTATGTTCTTCAAAAATTAACTTTAAAACAGAGCTCCTAGCCGAGACACAGAAGAGACGTATAAAAAGGTTCTAGCAGAGAACGAAATCCCTATCGATGTCGAGAAATTCGACGGGTATAGTCTCTGTTGGATCGGACCCAGGACGGCCAAGGCCGTTATTCTGTTCATGCACGGTGAGATGAGATGAGATACGATGCGGACCTTTATGTGTGCACGCTAATAAATGAAAACCACAGGCGGAGGACTTACTGATCCAGCCTTCGACGCACATATTCAATTCAACCTCAACGGCTGGAAAGTCATGAAAGCTAATAGCCAAGATGTGTCAATTGCAGTCCTGGCCTATGGTAAGAAGTGCGCATCTAAAAGCAACCCACATTACTGAAAGCTCTCAGGTATTGCTCCCAAGACACCATATCCCGTCCAAAACCGCCAAGTAGTAGCAACAATCCATCACCTCTTGAGAAGCCGACCGGCCGAAGATGTAAGTCCACCACTCACTTACGTGCCGACCATCCATTGCCAAGTTCGTATGCGTACTCACCAACTCTTTAGATCACACTCTCAGGGGACTCTATCGGTGGCATGTTGACTCTATCTACGCTCCTTCACCACAAACATCCGATTCCCACAGTCCCGGCGCTCACTCTCCCAACGCTAACCTCCCGTTTCCGCGAGATATTCATAGTCTCGCCCGGCTGTAGTGTTATCACCGACACGAAGTCTATGCAAGAGAACCTTGGCAAAGACTGGTTGACCCATGATATGATGAGAAAGGGGCTGGAAACATTGACGGCAAGTAAGGAGCCTGGGATCGAGTTTCCGAATCCGTGGTTTTTGAGCGTCAGTGCGGAGGAGACGTGGTGGAAAGACTTGCCAGTAGGGCACATGACGATTACGGTGGGGGGAAACGAGTTGTTTAGGGATGAAGTTTTGACGGTCGGGGAGAGGATCAAGGTGAGTGGGACAGACGGAAGAGATGGCAGTAGGGATGATGCTAATGGGTTGTTTGAAAGAAATATCATGATCGAGAAGTGACGGTTCTTTGCGAGGAAGGGGGGGTCCATTGCGGTCCTTTCTTTGCTTTGATGATGGGTGCTACGGATGATGATAAATCCGGTACCAAGCTGTTCAAGCAGTGGTTCCAGGACTTCAAGGCATAAGGAGAAAATAGTAGTGTAAAGGGTTCTCCTGGGGGCTATGTGCTTCCCTTATTGATGGGCAAAATTAGAACATGCTACTATATTCAGAAACCCCAAACACTTTTCTGGTAAGTATCATCCTTTATATGAAAACTCGCAACGCCCTGCCCCCTCAATCCAACCATAACCCCCCCACCCCCCGCGCCCTATCCGCTCACTTCCCCGTATCAAGTAACTCCCGGCCTCTACATAGATATGAACGGAACAGAGAACTATGATGATAGTGATATCATCTTATATGCAGCCCCCTCAAACCACTTATACTATAATCTTGACTCCTGTCCTCCGTTCCTCCCCTCTATTATCCCGTACCCTTAAGTCTAGCCCCACACGGATAGTTCACTTGTAAGATACGTAGTATTTATATACAACGCAGTCCCCGGCAGGGCCCATCTGACTGTCCGAGTTGTTCAGAGTCACGTGCTTCAACATAGGAAATACTATGACGAAAAGAAGTGAAAAGAGACATCTCTCTATTATAGTATGCAAGCCGAATTTCATTGCACTTTTATATCCGAATTCAGGAGATCGCTAATGATATAGGAATTGTGAGATTATTGCCCTTGATGTATTAAGGGCACACTAAAACATGCGTGGACTTGGCTGAGTTCACAGTTAGCTCACATGGCTTTTGCTTTCTATGCATTCTCATACAGGCCTGCCTGCCCGCTCGGGGGGCATAGCGAGCCTCTAGTATCCATTATCTTTACCCCGAACAAGCATCTCGGTGCCCTGCATGATATACAGATCTGAAGCCTCGTATCTCTACTCTTCCTAACGCAGCCTAATGCAATCTTAGTCGCGAGAGAAAAGGCCGACTTGCGCGAGAAAAAGCCGAATTCCAGCTCTATGGGCTCCACGATTTTTAGAGTCTGGAGGGCTAGCCCGGCTAGGGGCTGGGCTGATCCGGTTGATGTACCACTACCCACCATCTTTTCAAACCAACTGTGGTGCGAATCTGTAGACTGAGACTTGAAGGGATGTCAAATTCGGTTGGATTGAACGATTTCGATGTGGATAATCTAACGTAAGACTACGCTCAATATCCTTCAAATCCCACGTCTTCGAGACGCGCCGCCTTTCCAACAACTTCCTCTCCCATCGTCGCCGCATACTCCACCAACCGTTGCTGTATCGCGCCATCATGGGCCCCCAAGATCCTAGCCGCCAGCAGCGCAGCGTTTACGCTGTTGTTAATCGCGACTGTAGCGACCGGCACGCCGCGGGGCATTTGTACGATGCTAAGCAAGCTGTCCATTCCATCGAGCGTGCTTCCCTTCACGGGGACTCCGATTACAGGCAAGGGAGTTGAAGCAGCTATCATTCCGGGGAGGTGGGCAGCGCCCCCGGCTGCGGCTATGATGACTTTGAAGCCTTTCAAGGAAGCAGAGTTTGCGAAGTCGGTCATGCGTTGGGGAGTTCGGTGGGCTGAGGTTATGGTGACGTGGAATGGGATGCCGAGTGTTGTTAATAGAGCTAGGCCCGGCTTCAGAACTGGCAGATCGGAATCAGAACCCATGGTCACAGCGACCAGGGGGCGTGCTGCCGAAACTGGTGATGATGGAATAGAGGCAGTTCGTTGTAGGCCTTTGCGTTCGGCTCGGATATCATCTGCAGCTGTAATGAGAGGGGCTATGAGCGCCTCCGCTTCGGATGAGGAGCTCCCAACGACCGTTATATGGCCTATCTTGCGCCCGGGTTTCGAGTCCTTGCCGTACATGTGAAGTGCAGCAGCTGGAATAGCAATAGCCATATTCATTAACTTGTTGTGAGACGCTTGAGTCTTTCCCCCTAGGATGTTCAACATCACAGTGGCAGGGAACATAGCCGGGATGGTTGAGTTTGGAAAAGACGGCATAAGCCCGAGGATGGCGAGAAGCTGAGATTTAAATTGTGACATGGTAGGACAACCTTCGATGGTCCAATGGCCGGAATTATGCGGTCGAGGAGCAATTTCATTAACGATTAGTTGGCCTATAACATGCATTAGTGAGATGTGCGCTTCTCGGAGAGGGTCATCTTGTGGGACTAAAAGCAACTCACCATCTGGTAATAGGAAAAGTTCAACTCCGAATACGCCTTTACCTGGGAAACTACCCACAGCTTTCCGAGCCAAGTCTTGTGCCTCGTTTTGAACGATAATGGATACGTCTCTTGGAGGGGCGTATACCAATTTGCAAACACTATCCTCGTGCACAGTTTCCACCACGGAATATGCAATTGTTGATCTCCCACAGTCAGACGTATCATTCTCGGTTTTGACGACCATAACAGCAAGTTCCAGTCGGAAGTTTGCCCATTTCTCTGCATATAACGACTTTCCCGCGAGTGCTTCAAGGGCATCGCTAATGTCTGCGGGAGACTTGACAGGATAATTTCCACGACCATCGTAAGCATCTTTCCTGGATTTGAGCATGAATGGATATCCCACTAGAGATGGCGTGCGCATTAGTTTTATATCTCAAAAACCTTCCAAAAAACTGCCTGGAGTAAAAAGACAGCATACGTACACTCCCGACCAACTGCTTCCAAATCCGATCCTTCTACTGCCATTGACACCGCAGTCTTAACCCCACTCCGCGTAAGATGATCCTTCTGCAAGTACTTGTCTTGAATCGTGCGGATAGTCTTCCAGCTAGGTTGGACCTCGACAGTCTTCATACGTTTGCTTCCATCGGCAGACGTAACCTCGACACCCCTCTCAGCGATCTCCTCCAACACATACGTATCGACATGTTCGATCTCTACCGTCAAGATATCGACTTGCCCTGCCAATTCCCGGATTTTCTCTGGATCTGTAAAGGAACCATCGACATGGGAGGTTCGCGCATTGATTTGCTTCGCGGGAGAGCCTGCAGCGTCCAGCACCCATATTTTCGCGCCGAGGGGATTCGCAGCTTCGCAGAGCATTTGGCCCAATTGGCCGCCGCCAAGGAGACCGATTCTACGTTCCATGGTCCTAGTCGAGACTTGAGTATGATCAGCATTATGATCCACGGGATCAGATTGGAAGACTTACGATAGCTATGGATTGGCGCAAAATAAGAAATGCGTTTGGACTCACTGGAGTAAACCAAATTTTGAAGAATGACGAAAGAAATATTCTGCCGCGGGACTTGGTCTTAACCTTCACCGCTTTTGTTATCGCTGGTCTCGTGACAACGAGGGGTTCCCTGATCGAAGTAGTTTGTAGCACTTGCAAGAATCTTTAGTAGGAGTAGCAAGTCTGCATAGTTATAGAAAACCAAATTCTGAAGGAACAGGGAGCGATGAGATGGTTCATACCTACCAAGCTCTTAAGATCACGTGACATTTGTCTCAACACTTATTTCTAGCCTATTCAAATACCGTTGCGCACCACTTGTCAAACGCTCTAATATTAATCCCAACGGGCGAACATAGCTGTGACTTGTTACTTAGATAAAACTTTCAAAGCCACATTATTATATCTATATCGCTATAGTTTCCTCCCAGAGCGCCTTAACCTGCGCCATAAACGCTTTCTCTGACCATATATACCCCTCTAATATTGCCAGCAGTTCCGGCCATGATCTGTACAAGTCTTTGAACCTAGCAGTGTTGTTCGCACGCAGGAGTACGACATATGCCGAGCGTACGGCTCCTGTGGGAGCGAATGCGCCGCCAATATACAGGAGCCAGAGTAGTAAATTAGGGTTATCATCCCATAAGGGGTCATTGTTCGCCTGTTGTAACTCGTGAAGTAATTGTGAGGAGATATGGGACTGGGATCTAGAGTCAGCTAGTACGTAAATGAATTACTAACAAAAAAGTCTAGCATCTGGTTAAGAAAGCCTCTCTGTACTGAGGCGTTTTGACAGGAAAGAAGGAGGGCTAGTGATGTATAGAGAACGCAATGTTGCTGGCTGGTTCACTTACAGGAATGACTAAAGCGCACCAAGTAGTGCAGCATAGCATAACAGAGCATAGATATGCCGCAAGACGACAGCACTCCAGGACAGGCGAGAGATTCGGCAAGGCCACAAGCCTAGATTGCATAGAAGCAGTGTGATTATTGATATTTTCCATTAGCATGGCATTGCACTTTGCAGGACAGGGGACGGCACGGATGCATTGCAAAGCGTGTATATCTTCAAGCACTTCAATGAACTCTTTGGTGAGCATATGGGACTGCGTCTGGAATCCCGGGGGCAGTTGGAAGAAGAAGGGGGAGAAGGGATCTCTTGTCCATTGGAGCTCCGCGAATGTCGTGTGATCGACTACACGAGTAGATCCCGCTAGAATGGAGGAATTAAGGTCTTGCCTGTGGGCTAATGTAAGAGCAGGTTGTCAAGATAATGCATCTATGCTTACCAAAATATGGCCCGTTTAATGCCGCCAGTGAGGTAAATGCCCTTTGTTCGACACATATCAAGGAGCATCTTCACTGCCCCCATATGAAGTTGGACCTGAGACGTCATCCCAAGGCGAGCCTGGACAACCAAATATCAGCTTAAGCAGCTCGAGACACTAGGGACAACTCAAAGAGTAAGGGGTGGTTTTCAGACCTCAACTCCAGCTAGCAGCAAAATAGCTCCAATGGTCGATGCCGAATTAGCCTCATCCAGGGAACCCATCCTCTCACGAATATAACTGATTGCCTGACCCTGGTACCCAAGACACTCCCGATCAAGGGTAATGATACCGCCCGCGGTAGCCGCGAATGCAAGTGAGAGCATAACGGCATTTAAGAGCGCGGGATCAACCAAGCCAGTGCGGAAAACCGAGCGGAAGTTCTGGAACGCAAGGTCTTCCGCTACACTGAAGACCGGCTCGGGGGCTTGTCTAGCTCTATCTAGACCGTTGATTATAAGCCAGCCTATCCGAGATAATGATAGTTTTAGTGACGAGGAGAAGCGAGCTTACAGTCTCCAATCAGTGTCTGTAGTCTTGACGAATCCACCGCAAGCGATTGGAACGGATCGAGCGTGCCTGAAGAAAGAGAGAAGAGCGACGTCGCGGCTAAAGTTCCGGCGCGCCTTGCGCCTTTGCCCACCACCCTCCTGGGCTTGTCTCTCGAGGTCGTTACACAAAAATTATCCCCCGACTCTTGCTGAATCTTTCGTTTGCTCTCGAGCGCTTGCTTCACTGCATGTGATCGGGCTTGACGCATTGTGATTTTATCCCTGGCGACATCTGGAGCTTGATACGAGATGAACTGAAAATGTCCAGCTGACAAGGGTTAGTAGAAAGATGATAATTAAGCCTGTCCTGTACATGCTTTACCTACCTGCGATTGGTCCGCTTTCGGCTTCTATGGGACTATGACTTGTTGAAACCATTATGTAGGAACGTAATATGTAACTGGAGTCAAAATATGACGTTTGCGCCGGAATAGCATAGAGTAGGCTATATCTTAAGGTTCATGAGACAGCCGTCATCGAGGCAGCAGATGCGGATCAAAAAAACGGCGTGTTTCTTTCACTGATTTCAAACTGTGGGGTCCGAAACGTCGTGTTTGTTCACTACTTGCTTATAAATTACCTAGAGTTAGTAGTAGGATTCGCCCCGCCTTCTCACTATCTAGCGCCGGTAGGACGAAGCTAGTAAGCGCCTAACCCCTTTCTAGAAACATCTGCTTTCCCTATTTGGAAGTACCTGATTGCCTCATTCGGAACCATCTATTTACTCGAAATGGACGCTTCCATGTTTCTTAATAGGAACTATCTCTATTCCTGGACAGGAAATATCTCTATTTCTTAAGGAAACATAGTCTAGGTAACCCTCACCTCAAGCTCAACTTGCCTCATTATTTATACTTTCGTAGCTCTCTTAAATAGTAAGCCCTTGCGTTAGGTTCCTTTACCATGGCGAGTTTGTGATCGATCAGGAGTATATAAACCTCAAGGCCCAAGCCGTTCATTGAGAGTTTAATTCCCCAGCTGTACGCACATCTAGCACAACACTTCATTCATCACTCATAGCTTGCAAAACCGCGTCATATTACATCAATCCAGAACCCCTTCCTTCATCATGGCCGAGTCCCGCCTCTTCGCGCCCTTGAAAATAGGCAGTATAGAAGTGCAGCACCGTATCGGCATGGCCCCCCTAACCCGCCTCCGCGCAACAGCCGCCCACGTCCCAAACCCTCTGATGGTAGAATACTACAGTCAACGCGCCTCTGTACCAGGTACATTGATTATTTCTGAAGGTACATTCATATCCCCCTCGGCCTGCGGCGGGTTCGCCAACGCGCCTGGGATCTGGAACCAAGCGCAGATCGATGGCTGGAAGGAAATCACCGATGAAGTGCACCGCAAAGGCTGTTTTATATACTGTCAGATATTCGCCATGGGGCGTGCTGCGGATGCGGAAGTGGCGAAGAGAGAAGGCGTTAGTGTTGTAGGGCCGAGCGCCATTCCGATTGAAGAAGGCGGGGCGATTCCACGGGCTATGAGCATTACGGAGATCAAGCAGATGATTCGAGACTTTGCGAGTGCGGCGGAGAATGCAGTAAAGGCGGGGTTTGATGGGGTTGAGTGTCACGGCGGAAACGGGTATTTGGTCGATCAATTTATCCAGGAAAATAGTAACAGGCGCGACGACGAGTGGGGCGGGAGCGTGGAAAATCGGTCTCGCTTTATCGATGAAATCATAAAGGGTGTCGTCGCTGCAGTCGGCGCAGAACGCGTTGGGCTTCGTCTCACACCGTGGAGTCTGTTCCAGGGCATGAGGATGGAGGATCCAATCCCGCAATTTTCGGATATCATCGACAAAGCCAAGCAATTGAATCTGGCATACCTTCACCTGGTTGAGTCGCGGGTGTCTGGTGCCGTGGATCGTGAAGAAGCCAGTGAGCGGCTGGATTTTGCGTACAAGCTGTGGAATGGGCCACTTCTTGTTGCGGGGGGGTATAAGCTGGCGGATGCGCGGAGACTTGTCGATGAAGAATATCCGGACAAGAATATTATGGTCGTATTTGGGAGATGGTTCATCTCAAACCCAGATCTGGTATATAAACTCAAGAGGGGTCTGGAGCTTAGTGCGTACGAACGCACGACTTTTTATTCCGGCTCAGGTGTGGGTTATGTGGATTACCCGTCCAGCGCAGAATATCTAGCGAGCGGAGATGTTTAGATCAGCTCAAGATATACACATTAGATAGAGTTTAGAACATTTAGAATTTGCTAAAACAAGTTCGCTTCTGCGCTAAATTCACACTTTGAATCAGCAGAGGCCCATTCCGTTCTCCTAGTAGCGACTCACCTTTCATCGTCCAAAGAGCCTTCTAAGACCTCCAACCTTTCCCTTCTTCTCGGCGGCAAGTGCAAGTCTAGTAGCTGCTTCAAAGACCTCTCGCACGCCTTCGTTGGTCTTGGCAGAGCATTCGAGGTATGCGTCTGCGAGGATCCTTTTCGCGACTGCGTGCCCCTTGTTGGAAATGTCAATATAAGCACTTCCTTTCAGAGCAAGGAAAAGGGGGGCAAGGAAAAGTGGGAACGCACTTGTCCGGGCGGTACATGCTTCTGGTCGGTTTTCTGCAGCTCGTTTATACTTGTGGATTCTTGTCGGGTGTCCTTTTTAAGACCAACGAGTATGACGGGGCTTTCGTAGCTGTGGTGGACTACCTCGGTGTACCACTATTGTTGTCGTCAGTAGGACAATAAATCTTTCTGTAACTGTGTAGAATACGTACTTTGTCTTCGACGCTTTTCAAGGAGTCTGGAGAGCCAATGGAAAAACATATCAAACAGATATGAGTGTCTGGATACGACCTTGGGCGCAAACGATCGTAGTCTGCAAGACCTGCCGTATCGCTCAGTTCGAGCTCAACCTCCTGGCCGTCAACTTCGATAATACATATACTGGTGTCGAAGACGGTCGCCATATAACCCTGGATTTGTCAGTAGAAGTGGTAAGAAAGAGTAATCAATACAGCTTACCTCTAGCCATATACCCTTGGTAAACATACTGGTTCAAAGGGTGTTAGTGAACATATAAAAAGCTGCTATTCATGAGCACTCACAAGAGAAGCGTGCTCTTTCCAATTGCCGCATCCCCTACAATAACAATCTTCTTTCGAACTACTTTCTTGACTAACATGTGGTCTTGTTGCTTTGACGCAGATGGCTGAAGTGACATCGACGATATCCCCCGCGAAACTCTTTGGTACAGCCTGGGGTTATCCGTTTGACTTGTGGATCCCGGTATCACCACAGGGGGTACACTGGTTGGTCGTTGGGCTATTGTGAGTTCACTCTCCTCTGTCGGTATCATCTGAGCATCTATTCTCGAAAGATCTGTATAGTCGGAATAAGCTCTGATTGGTGGCAGTGATCGTGGGATTTGATAGAGAGGATGCTGCAGTGGCTTCACTACCTCTTTCTGCTGTTGTGCTAGTGGGCTTTCGAACGTGTCAGAAGATAAGTATTGTGTTGCAACGTATTGGTCAAGGGACAAAACTTCCTTCCCTTCCATGCCCGGAGTATCAAGGCTTGCTTTAGCACCTGAAATGAGATCCTCGGCAACACACAATCCTTCGTCAAACTTTACTTGCGGGGGCAAAGTTTGTACTGAGCTTCCTGAAACTGTGCTTGAGAGATGAGTCTCGACCTCTTCGTCATGCTGGCATGGGATTTTGCTCGGCTCAATAGCTTGGTCGTCCCTCATAGCATCGGAACTTACCCGCCGTCCAACAGGAACGGCATCTGCTGAATTTTCACACTTACTTCCGACCGACTCAAACGAATTCGTCTCCACTAACCTCTTTCCCACCTGTTCCATGACACCTCTCTGAAGCGGGATAGGGGCTTCTTCGGATTTATTCTGGCTCACAGCATCGCCAGTCTCCTGGTGTTTCGCGAACGAGGGCTCTGTTAAATTTGCACTACTCTCAAGTTGCTTAGAAATCCGATTTGCAGGTAACCTCCTCGGCGTTCGTTTCTTGGATTCCCTTCTTTGCAGGGGAACTTGGGCCTCTTGGGATTTAGGTTCTGGTGTGTCGGCTTGGGGCTCAACGTACTGTTCACGGAGTGACTGGGAGCTTTTCTTCTTGTGATTGATACTAAGTCGCCTGTTGCCATCAGAGGGACCCGTATCTATCACGACCTCGGAAAGCGACTGGTCTACTTGAATAGTATGGTTTGGTGGGGGAGATTGTCTGAGCAGTTCCCCGGAACTGACGGTAGTTGAAGCTGGCAAAAAAGCGTTTTGCTTATTCCCGGGTTGCCTCAGCAAGAAGTCCGACAAGAGAATAGAATAAGCCACTTCCTCGTCTTCCATGTTTTCATCTAGATGACAGACACGCACGAGGGCATTCAAAGACTTCTCAACACCCGAATTTCCCCTGGATCCTAGCTTCCTGTAACCCTTTAGAGCACGTCTAGCATAGAGGAGCGCTTCAGCATATGAATCTTTGTTCAGCAGAACATCAACTAGGGTGAGCATGTCGGCGAGAACGCCGCCGCTTTCGCTGGAGGGATCGCGTGATCCGATAGCTATCTTGTCAAGTAACAAGGACTGTGCTTCATTCCACTTTTCCTGGACGAGGTATGAATCTAGCAGAAGCGTCATGATTTCTGACTTTGGTGCTCGATGTGACGAGACCAGTGAGCCATTTGAAGTCCTCGTGAGGCAATTTCGGAGAAGTTTCTCTGCGCCAACATAATCTTTTAAGCGTAGTTTCTCTTTCCCTCTTCTCAGCAGAGCTTGGAGAATTTCAGTTTCCAACTCATTGTCTGAATCAGACAGCTCTGAGCCTGACACCTCGGCTGTGTGCTTTTTCTTGGTTGAAGATCTGCTTCCCTGAAAACCAGAGTCTCTATCTTGCTCTGAAAATTCATATACGGTGTTTGATGATATCCATCGAAGCATCGACTCCCCTGGCTCTGATGGGAATACGTCCCCAAAATCAGACCCGTGAGTAACTGAGACCTGATCTGGTTGTTCGGTGGCGAGAGTAGTTGATGCAGAAGAGACCACGCTGGCTGCCGATTGCACACAATTTCTCAAATTAGTCAAAACTCGGAGTTGATTGTTGTCGGCGCTATAGCTGGGGGGATTCTCGGCATTGGTCCCGACAGCATCTTGCAAGGCGGCCATTCGATCGTTCAAATCGATTGCCATATGTCGTATTGCCTGGTGTAGCTCATCCAAATTTGGCATAATCTGGTCAGTGGACTCCCGAGCAGTGACTTGATTCCATCTATTCGTATGATTAGAAATGAACTCGGCTGAAGATATGAAATCAAGATGCTTACAATATCACGGTCTGGAGGGAGAGCTGCATGGTATCTCGATATGATCGGATCTGCAGCTGATATATATTCATCTCATCCAGTGCAGCTCTCAGCCGAAGATGTTTCCTCGGCCCATCAAGAACACTAACGCTCTTATTGACTTTCTCCAAAATTCCTTTCAGTTGGTCCAGGGTGTTTCGTCCGTCCCGCAAACACGCTAAAAGATTTGCCCAATGATTTCCGATATGACCAGTAGATTGCATAGAGACCTGCATTGGGTCACGCTCCAAAGTGTCCTTCATCATTTGTAGCACCTGAGTGAAACTCTCTACATCTGTAAGGAGCCCTCGGACTTTAGCGTCTGCTAGCGCCGATGCATTGTAGAAGGTTTTCAACGAGTCGCCGGCCTGGACACACGCAGCCAGAACCCCTACGACTCCCGAGATGACGGATAAAGGATCCATAGTGAGATGTCAAGCAGCGGTACAGAGAAGGTGGATGTACGAGCTCTCAAAGCTTGTCTGGTCGGTAGGCACCAATCAAGCTTGGTGCTTCACTGCTTCGTCCTTGCACGTGTTGAATCCTTCGAGCCTGTTCCGCAGAGCATTGGTAAAGGCGTCAAGGAACGCCAGTCCATCTGTCGTCTGTTTATATGTGACAGCAACTAAGGATACCGAGCCCAATCACCGGAGAAGTGTTGTACAAAGCATTTCCAGAGGTTGGAGGATCAGCAGAGTGAGAGAGGCTCAAGGAATAGGCCACCATCATGGGCCGACATTAATCCGCTTGGGGCCCAAAATCGTCCCTGAGATACGTCCTACTGCCTATCAGTTATGGAGTATATCTCTCAGTAAAGGGTACTTTGTAGAATGAATCCCCACTGCTATTAATGTGAATGAAGACGAACTGTCTAATTGTGGACTTGGAGGTGAAGTTGAGAGTTGTAGAACCGAAAGAGGAAAGGTGGCACACGACTCAAATTCAGCCAATCAGATAGCTTGCGATGACGTTGTGGGGGGAAGTTTGTTTAGATGGAAAAAGTGACTTGCTTGACCTTCTGTATTTCTTATTTCGTATACTCCGTACGTATAGATTACCCATCCATCTTCAATCATCTTCAGCTCTTGCCATCCATCAATCCAGCTACCTAATGTATGCTCTGTTGCTGTTGTTGAACTTGCATTAGCATTCGCAGCTGAACAATTGGTGGCCGATCAATAGCCAGCTCAGAATCATCCTAGCGTATCCAACTCCATCCATCCATCCATCCATCCCCACCATCTTTCTTCCTCGACATCAAAACACCACAAACTCCACCAAAACTTTTACAAGCCTCTACAGTACGCACCTGGAGCCTTGGCAATTGATCAATTATAATGTCCGCACAACCACCATCGCGCCTCACACCGCTCTCCCCACCCCAAAGGCCCGAACCCACAGCCATCCAGAGTGGCGAGGCACCCGCGTCCAATGCTACAGTGAAGCCCTCGAAGAAAAAGCGCAATCACCGGGGAGGCAAGAAGAAACGGACGCGAAGACAGAGCTTTGCTGCTTCGACTGAGGATGGTAATGGGACTGGATCAAGGTCGGCGGCGAGGGATAGTTTTTATAGGGTACAGGGCAGGAATATGAGTGGGACTAGCATTGAGAGTGAGGCGCTTTTGGACCACCGGTATGTTTATTATGGGAGATACTGTCTCTATGGACTGTGGGTTGCTGATATCTGAGATTAGAGAACAAAGCAGTATGCGCCCAAGACGACAGTCTACGTTTGGTACCCCAATGTTCGACACACCCTCCTCACCCTATAGACCACAATACCAAAACCCCTTCCGATCAAATGAGAATGTCAACCGGCGCCCACGAACAGCTTCGAGCGAAATCGATGAAGAAGGAGACGTGGTTGACGAACGCGCACCTCTTATTTCTTCCTCGCGCTCGAAATCTTCAGGGGTCATGCTAGATTACGAATCAACAAGGCGTCGTGCTGGGAGCAAATCCTCTTCGACGAAGAGCAGAAAAAAAATCTTCGATCGCCCTACCACGGCATATCGCCAAAACGACGAGGAATATAATGTCAATTATCCCCCTTCTATCCCAGGTAGTCCGAATCTAGGCGCCTCGGTGGGGAATCGGGACATGAGCTTTGGGGATATGATGGTACGGGATGACTTTGCTCCTAACAGAGCTGCCCCAGGGATTATTGATGAAGAAGCTGTTGAGGGGAGTGTACCAGGGAGCCCGAGAAGGGAATCGGGGTATGAGGGGCGCAGACATACGATTGCCCTGCAGGCGGAGGAGGATGTATGTTTCCCTATAGAGGGAATGTCTGAGTTAGCGGAAGACGATATGCCACAGCATGAAGGCGCCCCGTTTAGACGGGGACATGGCCCCAGGAGGCGCAGAGATAAGTGGCCTGACCTCGCTATGCTCGATGAATGGAGCCGATTTGAAAAAGAAGGACGGAGCGAGGAGAGAAGGGCGAAGAAGATTACTGAGCCACAGCTTATCGGGGGTCGTCTACGTCCTATACACAAGGGCTGGCATCGTGCTGAGGATGATGCACCATATCGGTTTACGTACTTCAACGAGGAGTTCCAGAGTACGATTCATAGTCAGACCATTTCAGAGCTCGTGCAGCCCGGGGCATCTTTTCGGGAGCTTTTTGTCCCAGATCGACCGGAATTGAGTGATTCTGAGTCTGAGTCTGAAGAGGATGACGAGGAGCATCAATTTAGGGAGGCTTCTTACTTGAGGCATGCTACCGGTACAAACGGGGACTCCAGGGCCCCGACGCGTCAAGGGTCGTTGATTGATCCCGCAATAACTGACTCTCGAACCGGTGGTGGTTCAACATCTGCGACAGAGTCGAAAAATACATCGGGCGAAGCAACTCCAAACGGTGGCATTAAATCACCACCCCCTAAATCCCCTGGCCATACAGAAAAGCCTAAACGTTACGGCGACCGACCAACATGGTGGCTCGACGTCCTCTCGCCCACCGACGCCGAAATGAAGGTTCTCTCCAAAACCTTCGGTATCCACCCTCTCACAGCAGAAGACATCATGATGCAAGAGGCCCGGGAGAAAGTCGAGCTTTTCCGGAACTACTATTTTGTCAACTACCGCTCTTTTGAACAGGATATGAACAATGAGGATTTCCTCGAGCCGGTCAATATGTATGTCGTGGTGTTCCGCGAGGGGGTTATATCCTTCCACTTTTCGCTCACGCCCCACCCTGCCAATGTTAGAAGGAGGATTCGACAACTTAAGGATTATCTGATACTGAGCTCGGATTGGATTTCATATGCAATTATCGACGATATTACCGATGTCTTTGCGCCCCTAATCCAAAGCATAGAAGATGAAGTCGACGATATCGATGATGCGATCCTGAAACTACATGCCCCCAACCCCACCGAAAACGATAAATTCAACGAGAAGCGGTCTGAGTCCGGTGACGGGACGTCTGGTGAAAGCGGCGGCGATATGTTGAGACGAGTAGGCGACTGCAGGAAGAAAGTCATGGGATTGTATCGCCTGCTAGGAAACAAGGCGGATGTAATCAAGGGATTTGCGAAGCGGTGTAATGAGCATTGGGAAATTGCACCACGTAGTGAGATTGGATTGTATCTTGGGGATATCCAAGATCATATTGTTACTATGACGGGAAATCTGAGTCACTATGAGAAGTATGTGTTTTCTTTCCTTATCCCTCGTTTATTCTCAACCCCCGTTCTTAACTTCAATTGAAAAAGGCGGGCTTTTGCTAATATAGGCATGGGGAAAACAGAATCCTAGCACGCTCTCACGGCAACTACCTAGCCCAAATCAACATCCGCATGAACGAACGCCAAGAGCAAACCGCCGACGTCCTGGGCAAGCTGACCGTGCTCGGCACCATTGTCCTGCCCATGAACATCATCACGGGGTTGTGGGGTATGAATGTGTGGGTGCCCGGACAGGAATACGAGGGGGATTTGACTTGGTTCTGGTGCTTGACTGCTGGGTTGTTGGTTTTTGGGTTCAGTTGCTTTTTTATTGCGAAGATGATTTATCGCATTGTCTGAGGTAGGATTGGATAGATGGGCGCTGGGGTAAGGTGGGGTGTATCACGTGTGGTGTACATATATGGAAAGGAATGTACGGGGAGGGGAAGGGATGTATTGGGATTGTATATATGGGTGGAGTTTCAGATTTGATTGCAGAAACGTACACACTCTAGGGTCACTTTAGGAAAACAGCAACAGAACACAACAATTTAATTTTCAAAATCAATCAATCCCCTTTCTTTAATCAGAAGGAGTTGGAAGTCACTAGATCAGTAAGTCAAGTTGACTTGACCATTCTTTATCTACGAGTTGCATTGCAATTAATGAATTTGGAATTTCTAATCATAAGCAGATATATATCCACGTCAAGCTTCACTTCATTCAACCTGCGCTTGTTGTTCACTTTCTGTTTATGTCTCTTGTTCAGTTTGGGGTTAAATAATGATATTGTCTAAGACTACGTCCAGCGCAGTGATCCTCTCGCTTCTCATCCCTTCATCAAGCAACCTACCCATCAACAACCACTATCTCTCACCACCCCTCCTCACCTAGCAAAAGGATGCTTCCCAATCAAGTCCTTATACGCCGCGGCGCGCATTTCCGCGGAGGACTGATCCCTACGCCGTTGCTCCTGCCCCATCTCCCTCGGCGGCGGAAATCTATTCGTCATCTCCCTGCGCTGTTCAGGACCCATCTGCCTCGACGCAGGAGGTCGGTTGGTAACGACGGGCCAGGCCGTCATTTGGGAACTGCGGGAGCTTGCATTTGATTTTGGAGGGGGCGCGGGGTGGGGGGTTATTGTGCCCAGTGCGACTTTGGGAGCTGTTTCTGGAGTACATGGACTCGCTGTATGTGCTACCGGCTGCCGCACCTGTTCTACCATTATAATGTGATCCACCTGTACTACCACTATATTGGGATGCATTGTCCCTTGTGTTAAGTCCAGAAGAACCAAATTTCGACTTTTGGGAGTTGTAGTCAGACATTTTGGATGTGTTTTGAAGCTGTTATTTGGGGTCTGGTTTTGGGCTTTTGGAGATTTGGTTTTGGAGTGGAGGTTTTGGATGGGATGGTGATAGAGAAAGATAAAGAAGGTGAAATTGGAATGGGAGGAAGATTGAAATAGGATGTGGAGAGAAGCTGTTATATGATTATTATTATTTGTTTTATTTGTTTTGAGTGTTGTTAAGCGTTGTTTAGTGGTTGTTTATAGAGTATGTGCCTAGGTTGGAGAAACGAGAAGAAAAGGGGAAGGGGTGTGTGTATGTAGCGTGTTGGGTGTGGGTGGAGTGAAAGGGGGACGCGGGCTCGGATAAAGAAAGGGGGATTCTTAGAAGGGAAATAGGTAAATATTTTAGGTGTATTTCATATTAGCCATTGCTTAGATTTGTTTATTTTATATCTCGTGATCGTTTTTTTAGATTATAACCTCTGCAAAGCGGAAGTTTCTTATATATGTAAACTGGATTCTCTTCCGCTCGTAAATCTTTTCGGCCGTCATCCCGGACTCTCTGATCGTTCTCTACGATATGATTCCTTATCCGCCTATTAGTATAGTAAAAGTTCGCGATTTTCCTGACGGGCCCCTCTCATCCACGCATCATTGGGACCAAACACTTCGTTTTACTATCGAAGGTGGTTTAGAGGCTTCACATCTGCCTATACTCGCCTGCAATGGATGGCAGTACTGAATTAACTTAGTAGTTTAGAGTAATATACGTTTGACCGACGCGTGGGAGATAGGAGGAAAGAAGCTTGGTTAATCAGAGTTCTTAGGAAGTTAAGATATCAAATCATACATAGTACGTTGGAGCGTTCATAGGCAATAATCCATATTGCATTACTAATAAATCAAAAAGATCAAGCCCTTTTAGATTCCGTACAACATGAACTCCCGATCCTCAAGCCAAACTTTCCAAACCATATGTCTCACCGTCAAACATCTTCCTTCCCGAGCAACAGACACTACAGCAGCCCGAAAGGCGCATTTTCTTATGACTTTCTCCGTCCCTCGATCTTCGTTTTTAATGTAATGTGATCTATGTTTCGCACCCGGTGCAGTAAGAGTCCGCGGTTCTTCACAGACCACCCCCTCCCTCACAGTGCTCGCGCACTCAACCTCGGCGATTGGAACCGCCTTGAAATGGATCTTTCGTGTCCGAAGACACTTTGGCAGCTCGGGCCGCAGCACGTTCCTGGTTTCGTTTCTTCTTCGTGTCTCTATGAACGTCTTTAGATCGCGGGCGGAGCTCGTTGTTGGCAGTGGGTTTCCTAGACCAACCGGCTTCGACTGTGTCTTGAATGCTTTCGATCTTAATGCGGCGAGGACACGTATTGAGGTAGTGGGCACTGATGGGGTCGCGCGAGGAGGTGTTGCTGTTGCTGTTTGTAGGCATTTTGGATATAACGGCAGGTGTAGATTTGATTTGAGGGTTTAATGATAGCTGGGTGGGTAGATTTGACTGATTGGATACAGGTAGAATGGGTGAAGGTTTGTAAATGATGTTGTAGTTGTGGTAAGGATTTAACTTCCTGGCAGAAGTTTGGCATAAACTTATACACAAATTTTGATTCTTGTTCTGATCAAGCTGCTTGTTCTAATAAGTAACCTACTATTCTTTAGACAAAGCGGACTCGGTAACAGGCACGAGACGCTGTACTGTAAGTGCTGAGCGGCTGTTAGAGGCCAAATCGGGCTTTGTCCCCCCTATTTCCAATTTGCAACCCCAAACACATTCTTTACCTTTATACTGATTGTTCTATGTTTTCCAGTCGTCAAGGAGTGTTTTATTAATCTATTCATACCGTTAAACCTTTGGTATTTCCTTATCAAGTCCTATCATCGAGGCATCTGGTGCTGGGCCGCTGATTGACCCAAAGGCGGAAATCAAGCACGATTCAGCGTTTGAACAACCCTTTTCAAACCCAACAGATCTTACTACCTCTCTTTACCCTTCTAAGTCAAAACTACGTTCTTTGTATAAGAATGGACGTGCGTAGAAGCATCCTTCGAAACGAATCGAACGGAAAGGGGGTGAAACTGCTAAGCGAGACATTGTCTGATTCTGCGGCTTGCTGCAGGAAAGTTTGAAAGGATTGCATAATACGAGTAATGGAATGATATTTGAGGTCATGCAAATCTATGACTTACTTCTGTATGTCGTAAATCAGTTATGCATTTGAAGTATTGGCAAGTGTCTTGAAATCTATATGTTGCGATTCACAATACACGTAAACGAAACAATCAAAATTAGCACTTTTCCTTTAACGTCTTCGCTATCTTCAGCTACGTGCGAGAATATAAACTATCTGCTAAATCTCAGCTGTTTATATTCCATGTCTGATTTCTACCTTGAACCTCAGGGTTTCATATTATTCATCCTAAACTACCGCACTTTATAAACTATCTCGCTCTCCCCTCCCTATCCCAGTAGATAAATGCCAACAGCTCTATCCTTCCATCCTCCCCTCCGTCCATTCCACATCTCATTCTTCCTATATTTCCAAAAATCCCACATCCATATCTTACACCCCTCACGCCCATCCCATAATCTCAAAATCGACATACTCCGTAACCCCGCCCAAACCCCGATCTACAGTACCTGCCTCCACACAACCTTGAGACCGAAGCCCGAATATTTTAACATATCTTACTATGTTAACTATCATATCTCTCTATCTATCTATCCTCGCCCTCGCCCTTACCCAAACCCCGAAGACCGCTTTATCCCAAGCGTTGACCCACTAGCCGCAATTAAGTATTTCCCAAAACAGTAATATCCCGGAATTAACCCCGCCTCGCCTCCTAAACCCCGAATCCCACCACCACCACCTCATCCGTACAATACACCACGTAAACACAGCCAGTCCTAACACCATCCATCCATAACCTCAATTCAGAATTCCATCTCCGGCCCCCCGGACTCAAATGCACGAAAATTACCCGTTTAGGGAGAACTTGTCTTGTCTTTATTCCGAGTACAAGGAAGGTAATGACGTCTAAGACGGAAAGGTTCGTGGAGGTAGGGATGTGTATATGTATAAGTATGAGACAAACGTATCTCTTTTCTCACCTTGCATGTCATAACGCAATCCAGCCATCTATTACTTCGTTTCGTGCAAGTTCTTCTTTTGAAAGATTATATCATCTCGTGTTATCATTTCTTACATTTCTATAAATATAACATAGCATATCTTAAGAACGTCTTCCTGGTTCAATTACCCAGAATCCAATCTTAGACCTACTCCGGATTCCATTCATCATGGTGCAACAACAGTACAAATACGCGGACCAGCTGCCAGCAGGCTCCAAGAACCGCATTGAGAAAATCGCCATTGTGGGGGTAAGTTTCTTGTCTCTCTCTCCTTCTCTATCTATCTCCCCTCCATCCCTCCAACCAATTCCTCAATCCCACATACAAACCACCCCAAACCAACCGACCAACCAAAACCAAACCAAACCCTAACTAACCAACCACCCCCCCTCCAGGCAAGCGGCCACATCGGCTCCTCCATAACCTCAGCCCTCCTCGCCACAGGCTGCCACACTCTCACAGCCCTAACGCGCTCCACCACCCCCCTCTCCCTCCCCCCATCCATCCACATCGCACGTATCGACTACACATCCCCTGCCTCCATAACGCACGCTCTAACCGGGCACGACGCGCTCATAATCACGCTCTCCGTAACCGCCCCCCCTACAGCCATGACCACCCTCCTAGACTGCGCCTCCGCAGCAGGCGTCCCTTGGGTCCTCCCCAACTACTTCTCCTCGGACCCGACGCTCACGCGCCTCCAAGACGAAAGCCTAACCGGGCCCTTGACCGCCGAAACCCGCGCCCACATCCGCAGCACGCGCACCCTGTCGTACGTGCAGCTCGCGTGCGGCTTCTGGTACGAACACAGTCTGTGCGCGTTCAGCTGGGGCTTCGGCTTCGATGCGCTGCGCAAGACGGCGTGTTTCTACGACGACGGCACGACGCGCATCACGACCAGTACGTTCGCGCAGGCCGGGCAGGCAGTCGCGGCGCTGTTCAGCTTGCCGGTGTTGCCGGAGCGCGAGGGCGATGAGCAGGCGACGCTGAGTCGGTATCGGGATGGCGCGGTGTATGTGTCGAGTTTCAGGGTGTGTCAGAGGGATATGTTTGAGAGTCTGCTGCGGGTGACGGGGAGTAGCGAGGCGGAGTGGGAGATCAAGTATCGGCCAGTGGGGGAGGTGTATGCGGAGGGGCTGAAGGGGTTAAGGGAGGGCAAGGGGGCGGAGGCGTTCGGGACGTGTTTATATTCGCGGTCGTTTTTCCCGACGGGGGAGGGTGATTTTACCGAGAAGCTGGATAATGAGGCGTTGGGGTTGGTGGCGGATGAGAGTTTGGACGAGGCGACGGGGAGGGCCATTGACTTGCAGAAGGCTGGGTATGGGTCGTATGGGGCGGGGGCTGAGATCTATGGGAAGCGTTAGGGTGTGGATTTGGTCGGAGTACCTAGGTAGTCAAGCTTTGCGCGAAATACGGGTGCGTTATATCTAAACGCACCTATCTTAGTCAACAAAACTCACACCTTATTCTCCAACCTCCTCATCTCCACCAGTATCTCAGTATCTGTGAAACCACCATACCCACCCCATCTCCCAACCCCCCTAC